CAAGAAGTGGACACACGAAAACCCCTTTGAAAGATAATTGTTTGGTGACCCACACCACATCTTATAGATCTCTTTACAGACAATTTTTGTTTTTGTCCCTCTAGAAAATCATGCATTATAGTTTCTTCTCATCACCTAAAAATATACTGACTACATCAGCTGGTGTATCTAAATTGTTGCTGTGTTTGTCTTGCTTAAGATAGGCATTATATCCCGGGTGTAGAATGAACTCTGCATTCACAGATCTTCAACAGGAATAAAAATATTCCTGATAATTAATGGTTGGATGAAAATCGTGCTGAAAATCAACTGTGTCCAGACATATTAACTGGTTGAAGTTTTATGGCTTCTAAGAAGTTATTTGTTTTGGGGGGTTACATTTTATTTTATTTTATTTTATTTATTTTCATGGTTAATTTCCCCTTTCCAAACCAATGTATTGATGGTTTTGCAATGCAGTATGTACAATTCCCATATATTTATCTGGATCAGTAGGTGAGATGTCTTCTGAAAGTGCCCAGGAAGCAAACTGTTTAGCATTTGGGTTGAATTAACAATACGAAACATGCTTAGATGCCTTGAACAGTCATACAGTAGTTAGGTCTAGTAATTAACCTAAAAGTTTCAGTTCACCTGTACTTGTTGTGGTTTAGGCCTCTATTACGTGTAAATAGGATCACACGTGGTGAATTTGTTAATTTATTGAATAATTGGTGAAGAGAGCCACTATCTAGAACTCTTTGGTATATAAAGGGATTCACTAGTACAGTATTCTCTTGTATGTTGCAGACGTTTGCTCAATGCTCCTTGCACAGTTCTGTTCTTTCCATTGGGGTTTGTCCACATGCTCAGAGCTCACGAGCTACCTGCTGAGAGGCAGGCCAGTCACAGCAGGGTTGAACAATCTCATTATACAGTATAAGCCACATTAGCTGTAACAAAGCAGGTCTATGTAGCCTTGCATTCTCCTTGCACAGGTGGTCATTACACCCACACGCCAGGACCCCAGCTTGCTCTCCATGAGACACACAGACAGGAAGAGAAGCTTGGGGTCAGAGCGCAGGGTCAGCCATTTCTACGGCACCCCTGGAGCAGTTGGGGTTAAGGGCCTTGCATAGGGGGCCTCAACGGAGTAGGATTCCTCTGCCTGCCATAGGATACGAACCGGCAACCTTCCAGCCACAGATCCTTAACCACAGAGCCACCGCACCACCCAAAAAAATGTATTATATTCATTAACTGAATAAGAAGACAGAAAAGAAGTCCCACAGAGCACTCCCTGAAGACAGCACAGTCCCCTGGCTCTCTATCACATTCCAATAAAAAAACTTCATCCCCATGCATCTCTCCTGCTCCTATCTCTCCTTCTTCCTTCGTGCATCTCTTTTTTCTACCAAAGAAAGGCAGAAACCTCTGCTTAGCCCTCTGGCTGTCATGCCAGCTTCTTCCTTTGTCCCGATAATCCTGAGGAACATTGGACCTCCCCTACTCTGGTGCCTGAAACCACCGCAAGGCAGGGGAGGAGAGACCGATCCCCCTCTCCCCCTGGCCTCCTCTGCCCGAGGCTTATATGTATAATAATAATTTCTTATACTTACAGTATATAGTGCTTTTCTGGACACTTCACTCAAAGCGCTTTACTGGTAATGAGGACTCCCCTCCACCACCACCAATGTGCAACATCCACCTGGATGATGCGACAGCAGCCATAGTGCACCAGTACACTCACCACACATCAGCTATCAGTGGGGAGGAGAACAGAGTAATGAAGCCAGTTCAGAGATGGGGATTATTAGGAGGCCATGATTGGTAAAGGCCAATGGGAAATTTGGCCAGGATGCCAGGGTAACACCCCTACACTTTTTGTCTTTCTCCAGGGCTCCAGGACACAAACAAGGGTCTGGGTGGTTGTGGGGAGGCAGACATACTGTAGACAAGTGCAGGCTGCTTGAGGCACCGACTGTATGCAGATGACCAGGTGTCTCAGCACTCTGGCCCTCCCTCCTTCGTCCTTCAGGTCCAGCCTCAGCCTGCTCTGTCCCCCCCACACAGCTAACACGTCGCCTCTGACTGTGAGGTGATCGCTGGATAAACCAGGCAGACAGTGTGACAGTCAAGCTGCGCTGGTTGTCATCTGCTGCAGTGTTTGTGCTAGGACGACGGGAAGACCTGAATAGGAGAAGGAAGCAGACACAAAAGAGAAAAACTCACACCAAACCCTGACAAAAACACAGGGCATAGCCCTCAAGCCACTGTCCTGCTCCCACGCCAGTCACCCTGTGACATACTGTACCTGTACATCTATGTCCAAAAAGGAGCCAGTTGACCTGTAGGTTTCTGGCTTGCTTGACTGTTTGTGTCATCTTTTCACATAATACAGTTAATGTATTAAGATGATGTTTTTATCCAAAATGTACTTTTGTAGATCTTTACACAGTTAGAAGAAGTACCTCACTGAATTCAACAGCAGTCCCCCCACCTGGGAATTAAACCAACAACAGCCCAGTGAGGAAGTCAATCTTAACCACTCCTCCCTTCATATAGACTATAGCTGCACCAAATCAATTTGAAGCCTTTTGCTCCGGTGACAGAGGAAATAAAAACATTTAATTTTTTAACCTAAACAAATGCTAGCCAAAGTGGCAGACGGCAAATGGTTTGAAAAAAATGAAGTAAAGGAAAGAGAAATATTGCCTCGGAAAATAAAGGCTATTAAACAACAAGGTATTTTACAGTTCCACACAGGCGCGGCACAGTCTGTGGACCTCGCTGGCCAAATTCATTGGAAACTCCGCTAAGAGAACACTTTAAAAACTCGCTTAAAGTTGATTTGTTTTACTTGTACTTTTATAGTGACAATTTACTATGATTTGTTTTCTATTTTTAATAAATATTGCAGTTTATACACGCCCTGTCACTCCGCGTTGGAAAGTTTTTTTGTGTGTGTGTGTGTGTGAAAGCAGTTAAATAAAATGCAGTGTTACTATTATTAGAATAAGACAGCTCATCTCTCGAAGTTTGTTATGGTTAGGGAGGGGGAGTTGCCCGTACTGCGATCTTGGGTGTTTCAGTCCTGTTGTTGCACTGGTGAGGTGGGAGTGTTGAATGGGAATGTCTGAATAGGTGAAAAAGTTAATTCGGGCGCTTGTTATTTTCTTATAAGCTTACAGCAGCCTTCATCTGTCGATATCAAGCGCACATTTTCATTTTCAAAACACTGCCCCGGAAAATATTGGCAGAAAAAGCGCACATCCCAACATCCATAATTCGGGAGTACTCAGACATATGATTGGAATTACCTGCTGTGTAACTACAAAACATCCATTGTTTCCGAAAGCAGCTACAAAAACCCAAATGTTCTTTCAAGGTCTTACAGCAACTTAAAATTTATTATTAACAGATAATAACAGATCACGTAATTAAACCGCTGTAGATGAACTCTAATCTCGGGAAGCTGACACAATTTTAGTCCTGGAAGATTCCAGAACAGTGTAGTAATTAGGTCAGAATCTATGACAAGGGCGTCTCTGGAATGTTCATTATTTCCAGTCGTCCCTCTGGCTGCCGATCTTTACAATCTCCTGCACGGAAATCGTCAGGAATGATCCAGTCCCTGAGACCCACAGCAAGAGTTTAAAAATTGCAATGCGCTTTGCGGTCTCATAGATGGAATTGCGTGTATTCCCAGCTGACTTTCGTCCCTCTGACCAAGGGTTGCTATAGTAAAGCCCATTTTTGCTTGAAAGTATAAAACTAGTCACATTAAAGAAAAAAAGAACAGGACAATGATTTCTAGTACCCCACAAATTATGTCAATTCTGCTACAGTACGAAAATGTAAACGTTTCAAACTGCAACTTTCGAGTGTTTTTACACAAATAAACATACATGCCGTAGTTTCAACGCCAAGTATTTTTAATTTACGGAAAATGTTAACATTATATAAAACAATAAACATTACCCAGACTCATAAAACAGAGTGTGAAAGAGCCCTACGTTTGAGGAGAGAGAAGATAGAACGAGAAAAATTAAACTTCTGTATAATTATCTTAATAATTATACTTTTTAATATAAGTATCTAAATTTCACTACGACTGCTACTGTACTGTATATACTGATCGGTGTCTTATCTCCCTTCAGTGTTATTTTTAATATTTTCCAGAACAATTAATCTAATTCGTAGAAATCTTCTTCCAACAGTCCCGTGGTGTGTGTGTGTGTGTTTATACAGCATGCAAGTGCAAATTGTTAAAGAAAATGTCGCGCATTTGTGTGGCGAGCGGATGTTCAGGGAGCTCAAACAAACCTATCCGTGACATTAAGCGGCCATAGCGTTCACTCAGGTGAACTCATTTGTTTACAGGATGTCATCCAATAGGTTTTTTTTTTACAATTGGATTGATATATGATAATAATGGGCAAAAATTAGAGTGTATTTATGTTCCAAGTCAAGAAAGTCATAATCTGGTCATGTTGCTCAGTAAAGACATATTTGATATCATGACAAAATAGTCACTGAAATCGCTTTTGGCAATACTTTTAAAAAAATTATCTCGTTTGTTTTCGAGGAATGTTGCAATTGAAACTGTCTCATATTATTTCTTATTATGATACAAATAAAGTTTTAAACAACGGAACAATGCGAAACGTGTAACAATACTCCTCTCAGGTCCAAGATTAAAAGAAACGATTTTCTTTCTCTTGGTTTGGTTTTCGGACAAACCTATATTTAAAAACAACACGTAAAACAAAACAACACAAAACATAAATGAAGTAAGAAAAAAACAGCTTATTCTATGAGACGGCGGTTATAAATAAATGCGAAGCCCTGCACAATAGCTTGCATATATTGAATATATACGACTAACCGGTTGCCTTAAAACATACATGAACGGAATTTTCCAGCATTTAAGTAGACGTCGGCAAAGATTTAAGTACCGAGTTTTCGATAAAGGTTTTTTTTTTTGGGGGGGGCGGTGTTTGTTGTTCAAATCCATTTTTCCATCCCGTTTTCCTAGTGAGGGTCTGCTGCTCAGATCGCAGATACAGTAGTTTTTGTCTATCTTTTCTCTCAAGTGGTTTGCTCCTTGTTTCAGCTCGCCGGAGGGCACAGAGGCTGTGGTTTCCCTGACATTTCTGGGACCGAATCCAAAAGAAGGGGAAAAGAAACGTTTTTTTTCCTTTCCCCTCCGTCGTCACTTTTCCTGAGATTTCCTTCGGCTGTGCAGACGGTATAAAATCTTTCTCAGCCGGAAACAGAGGAAAACTCTATCCGAATGAAAGCGTAGAAACTACACGGTAGCTGAATTCTACCAGTTAGAGGAAGTTTGCAGTCTGGAGTTACTGAAAGGCGATCTACAGTACCAGGGAAAGGAAATAATTTTATGGGAGCGGATAAATTTATTTTGTTTTGATTATTCAATGCCATTTCAATTTTGCTAATAAAACATCTGCATTCGCTCAAAGAAGACGTTCAACAGCTTTGATCCTTTCTTTGGAATATAATTCTGAACTGGAAAAAAAAACACTTTGGACGAAAAGACATCGGACAGAACATAATAATAATGCAGTTTCATTCAAGATTCAAGATCAGGGGGAATCGGGTTTGCCACGATTTTGCTTTACTTATAAAAATAACAGCTGTACATTCATTTTAAAAAGCTTGGTTGAAGACATTTTATTTTCCCGACGTTCGCATCTTTTTATGGATTTAATTTCAATTGACAAGAATGTTTCAGATTCATAACTGAGAAGATCAATGACAGTTCCCTTAACAGTGTGCTTTGATGAGTGTCTTGTTTCCATTTTAAAGTAAGCCGTTTCAGTTTTATACTTCTTTTTCTGCATCTGAATAACACCTTGTCGTTTGCAAAGAAAACGCCACTTCGATATCACTTTCAGCGAGGGACGCTATGATTTCTAGGCAAAACTGTAAACTCAGCTTTTGCCTGCATCATCTGGCTTCTGGACAGTGATCCTAGGGGGACCCCAGCAGCTTCAAAAGACGATCAACTCCATGTGCTGTAACGGCTGCTATATTCTCTACTAGCAGATCTTGTGTTTGCGAGGACTGTAAAATGATGCGGACATTACTGTGCAGTTTAGCCGTGCTCCTTGCGCTGGGGGCTATATGCGCCTCTGAAATCTCAGCCGTTGACAGATATACCAAACTGAAGCCGCTGCCAATTCATCGAGCAAGGCTTAACAAAACACGTTTGCAAAAAGGTGCTTTCGCTGCGGCCCAGGGACGTTCCGCTAGGGTAGTTGATCCAGCGGTTGCCTCCTCCGTTTCAGCCGGAGAGATGCAAGGAGACCAGAGCGCAGCTCCTTCTAGGAGGGAGCAACCGAGGAAGGCGCTACCCGCTAGGAGACAGGGGGATTCTGGGAGGCACAGCCCCAGAGGCATGGTGCAGGATGATGGCACTCCCGGGCCCCGCTCCAGACCGGTGCGCGTGTCTTCCGGTGCAGGCTCCCCGAACGTCTTGGCAAGTTTTGCAGGGAAAAATCGCGTGTGGGTCATCTCCGCCCCGCACGCCTCTGAGGGCTACTACCGTCTTATGATGAGCCTGCTCAAGCCGGACGTCTACTGCGAGCTGGCCGACCGGCATGTGCAGCAGATCGTGATGTTCCACGAGGAGGGGGAGATGGGCGGGACAGTGCGCCGCATAACCAGCGAGGGGAAGGTCGTCGAGGAGCCCCTGGACCCGGCGCTCATCCCCAAGATGATGAGCTTCCTGAAGTTGGAAAAGGGCAAGTTCGGGATGGTGCTGCTGCGGAAGACGCTGCAGGTGGAGGAGCGCTACCCCTACCCGGTGCGGCTGGAGGCCCTTTACGAAGTGATCGACCAGACGCCGATGCGCAAGATCGAGAAGCTGAGGCAGAAGGGTTTCGTGCAGAAATGCAAGGGGGCTGGCGTGGAGGGCGTGGTGGTGGACGGCGGCGGGGCCAGGCACACCCAGAGAACTGAGTCGCCGGAGGACAGTAGGCCAGGGAGGAAGGTGGTCCGGCGGCCCACGCAGACCCCAGCACCCCCGCCGCCGACGACCACAAAACCGACAACCACCCCCACCACCACAACAACCTCCACAACCACAACAACGAGGCCAACCACCACCACGACTACCACGACAACCACCACAGCCCCACCCACCACACGCGCCGTCACCACGACCACGGTCCCCCCGACAACCGAGAAACCCCCTAAAGCTCCAGGCACTCCTCACTGGATGCCAGAGGTGCGCCGAAACTCCCACCACGGAGGACGCCGACCCACCACTGCGGAGCCCTACTATTACCCCCCTACGAGATATGACCACCGCAAGGAGAGACAACACCAGGCCTTCACCCCTGCTAGCAAATACCCCAAAACTCCTGCACCCCCAGATCCTACTGCTCCTTCTGAGTACTACACAAAGGCCTACACCACAGGCCGCCAGGGGGACAACCGCACAGACAAGAAGGATTATGGGCGCAAGGAGTCCCACCTTACGCCACCTCAGCACAAGCCCACAGAAGCCCGGCCCCCCAAGAAGAAGGGCGCCACCAAAATCCTGACCAACGAGTACGAGGACAAGTACGACGGGGGGAGGCCCACCCCCGGCGAGGCCGTGGAGGAGGAGACGGCGGTGGAGGCGGGCCCCCAGAAGAAGGGCAAAGGCAAGCCGGGCAAGGCGGAGAAGAAGAAGAAGAAGGGAGACAAGCCGGAGAAAGCAGCCAAGAAGGAGAACGGGGAGAAGAAGGCCAAACCGGGCAAGGACGGCAAGGGCGAGGGCCGGCCCAAGAAGAGCGGCAAGAAAGGGAGCAAGAGTCCGGACAAGGAGGACTACCGGAAACCTGCCAAGCCGCTGCCACCGGCCAAGAGCTCTCTGGCGGCCTTCCTCGATTACTTCGAAAATCGACGACGGCTCCTCGTAAGTGTGGCTTTACTCTGCTCCGTGAATTCCCCCCAGGGTTTCCAAATTAAAGTGGGAGGTCTCCCGGCTGATTTTTGACGGCTATTCGGCTCTTCCTTGTGGCAGCCCTCCTAAAAATAACAGGAGGTGTGAGGAACACCTGTAGCACTACTGCAGGTGCCCCAGCTGTCCTACAAAGCGGCTGCATGAACAGAGTTGCATTCGAAGATCAAAGACTCGTTCTGCCGTGTGAGATTTGTTTTGAAACGAAGAGTTACTTCAGCTCCAGGGCATGCGCCTTTTTATTCTAAAAAGAATTTTTATGACGATAAAGAATTTACTTACGATGGCCCCATTAATTGGGGATATAGTTTCTTCGTTAAAAAAATCATTTTGAAACTACTTTTCTACTGTACCTCTGGAGTAAAGCACTGCATAATATATCCTACACTTCTTTAGCTCGGATTCAGGGGGGTGTGGACAGACATTTTTAAGGGCTGAGGCACATTATTATTTTTCCAATGAAGCAGTGTGAACAGTGGGGGAGAGGTCACTTTTCCAAAAAAAAACAGAAAGTCATACCAGTCAGTCAAGAGGAAGGGGTAAATGGCAACACTAACTCACTCATTCACTCACTCACTAAATGCACCCCAAGCTGAAGTACAGTAGCTTCAAATGCTGAAGCATTTTGTGTGCTTGCTGATGGCTTGCTTTATGGAGGAGGCCTGGAATGTTGTCTGGAGGACAAAAGCTGTGCAAAGTCACTGTGTGTTGTTTTTTGCCTCTCCATATATAAAAAGACAATTTTTCCTCCTTGATCTGTTATTGTTTCAGCAGAGACTTCCCCGCAGGGATTAAACAAAACAAAAAGCAGTTAAGGTTTTTGAATACCCAGTCTGAGCACATTAGGGCTCAGAAGATTATCAGATTGTCCGACTGAGAGAACTTATTCCGCTGCCAGGCTGGGAAGCTGTTTCGTGTCAAGCCGCCTGCCCTGTTTTATCAGATTCAGACTCACGCCAGAATAGCCAAGACAGCAGGGGCATGGCAGGCTTTAACTTCCATTAGGAGAGTCCGGCTGAATCTATGACATATTCATATATGATCTTTTGCATGAGTAAAAACGTACAGCACAATCTGGTCACCTCCTCAGGCTGGTGAATTTCTTTCATTTCCTGGGTTTGCGCCCTGGTATAGTGGTTAGCATGGCTTTCTGACAGCTCCCGGGTCCTGGGTTCGATTCCAGAGTGAGGGGTCTTTTATGATACAGTATGTGACGTTTACATCTTCACTGAGTTCCCAAAGTCATGCTGACTGCCTAGGATGTAGCCTGACGTCATGCCCTGTCTCCCTGGGACTGGCTGCAGGTTACTGTGACCCCTGCAGGGAGAGAGTGGCCTCTCTGATCATGGATGGATTTTGTCTGTGTTCATTCCAGTGGATTGTCAGTCTTGTGCACATTCAGCCACCACCTTTTCTCTCCTCCAGGTCATCACCTCGCCTCACGAGGAGCACAACATGTACGTGCAGCAGAGGGATGAGTACCTGGAGCACGTGTGCGAGATGGCAATCAGAAAAGTCTCCATCATCACCATTTTTGGCACTTTGACTAATAACACCATGAAGATCGACCACTATCAGCTGGGTAAGAGCTTTGTTTTTTGGTTTTACAATTTCTCTGAAACAATAGTCAGCCCGTCTGGAAGACGTCAGAAAGGGTTGTTTTCCTATAATGATATATAAAAATGTAAACTGTAAGTAAGATATAAAACCTTGGGATATCATGGAAGAGAAAAGTGATTGCATGCATAAGCATGTATTTTAAAAATCATCACAATTGTATTTATCCACCAATTTCATCGCAAAGAATTCCATCACTTTGCTTATAGGAAGAGATTGACTTCATCCACCACTCAAGTGAAGTGATTCACCCGGATGACGTACAGCAGCCATTCTGTGTAGATGCACAGTGGATCAAGTGGAGAGAAAACTGACTCTCCAGTTGATTTAAGGGAGATTATTAAGGAGACCAGCTACTGTAGAAGGGCAGTTTAGCCAGGAAACCTATGCTCTTACAAGCAGAGCCCTGGAAAATGTAATGATGAAGCATTCATGTTCCCAATTTAATCTGTTGACAGCATATCCTACAGTATAGCACCTCATGTCATCGGAATATCGTAATATTAGATTCTGGTTCAGAAGAAAAGATTGCCACCTACTGGTCCACCAGTTACAGAACCAGTTTGTTTTATCTTGGAGGTCTCCTATCACAATAATGCTGAGGTACAGCCTTGCTTAGATTTCAAGCTTTGACTAGCTAACACTGACTAACACTGCACTCAAGCTGTAGTAATATGTGGCTTTGACCTGAAAATTCATGTACATTCTCCACTCTCACTTTCTAACATGATCTTAATTTCCAAAAATAAAAATTTATTTGAGCTACTTAACTCTGATGTAAAATCTAGTCTCTCTGCAAGGCTGGGCTGCTTCAGTAGTACCAGCAGTAGTGTAGGGAGAGAGACCAGTGTCAGATAGCTATGCTTTCCTGCCCAGTGGGACTCTTCAGCCTTATAAAGTGGGAGAAAGCACCAAGCTTACTCCACACTTATTCCTGTACTTGTCAGGCTACACCAAACCTGTGTCTGAACATCCTGTACAAGTGTGAGTTTGCTTACATTTCCTTTTTGTTTAAAAAAAGACAGATATTAAGGATTAAACAATTTGGCTTCAAACGTCATGCTTTTTCTTGTTTGGCCTGTCCTCCCCATAATAAATGATGATAAAATTGTGAACCAGACTGGTGTGTTTGCAGCCAATGACCTGACATGACTGCTCAGGCCAGTGGGAAACAGAAGCATGAGGGAAGATGGGCGCTGTCAGAATTACAAGGCTCATAAGCCTGACAGAAAAGTAACTTGGCACAGGTGCCTTCCTAATTTGCCCTTTGCAGGTGCCCGTGAAAAAAATATGTTTCATACACCACTGTCACAGGAACTAGCTTGGGAATGTTTGCTTGGCAAACAGATTTAAGGTCTTGTTTGCCTGGACAGAGACAGAAATGAGAATTTTGCTGCACTGTTGTTTGAGCCACGATTTTTTCACCCTACTGGGTCTTGTAGAAATGCCTTTCTTCTTATAGAAGGGCATTTAAAAGTTAGAACAGGAGGTACTTCTTTGCCCAGAAGGTTGTGGGAATCTGGAACCAGCGACCCAGCCAATACCTTGGCTTCCTTTAAGAAAAAGCTGGATGTGATCGCTGGATCAATTAATGGCAAACTTTCAAACAGGCTAGTTGGGCAGAATGGCCTTCTCTTGTTTGTAACCTGTTGAATATTCTTAGACATCTCTTTAGCTGGAACATGCTATTGTAATGAATATGCCCCTGTGTATAACAGGGATCTCAGCCACTAGGGCCAAGGGAGTTCTCCTTTAGCTCAGCCGGCAAGTTCCCTGTTGCGTGATGCTGGAGACCTGGGTTCCCGCCCAGGCAGTGAGGGACAAACTGGCAGGGCAGGAGCGGCAAGGGTGGGAACCTCAAGAACCCTTACACTGTTCTCCTCTATATTTATATAGAGAGTGAGTGTTAGTGAGATGTTTTCTACCAGGTCTTCATATGCCCTTCTGAGAGGTCTGAAACATTTCTGTTTAGAAAACTCTTAAGCCCTTTCCTTTTTGCGGTCATGGAAAGAGCGCTCTGCTGGATGACCCTGACATCCTCCAGAATCGCCACGCGGTATTGGGAGTCGAGATTGTGGACTCAGTGTCAGAGGAGCCAATGAGCGTATTCCTGGTGCACATGTGGCCCTGACAAAAGCCACATGTTGACTGTCAGGGTGAGTGCTTACAGCTCAGTGCCAGATGCTCAAGTCGAAAGGAGGGGGTGGCATTTGTTCCCTATTAAGTTCTAACAACAAATTCTGTTGCTTACCTAAGGAGCTGAGCCAAGTGGATTGTCTTAACCTATATTAAACCCAAAGGCAGTGAAAATGAATATTTAAATGGGGATTCTCCAAAATGCTCAAGGATAAAAAGGCGAAACTTTTTTGAACTCTTGATTTTCCGGTTTTAGAAGATATGTTTTTAACAGGTTTGTCTGGTTAGAAGCAGGAACTCCCCGACTTTAAAAGAAAGGAAAATAAATAAGTGTTGGAAGGTTGGTTCCTCTCATCTTGTTTCCAGCACTAAGGGAATGGCCTTTTCCTGAGAGGTAGTAATTGACTTCACTGTCCGTTTCTCTGAAGAAAAGGTTTTGCCCAGAACAAATGGAAAGTTAAAGGCACACAGCAGTATGCGTGTTACATCACGTCCCCATCTCTGGAGTTCTGCCATGTTAAATGTAGTTTCTCCAGACTTAGTGGAATTGTGCTCCTTTTCCAAAATGTTTCTATACCTGTGGTGTTGATGAGCCTGTTACGATGATGTAATGTTCTAGCACGCCCTAGCACAGAATAGTGTTTGCATTCTCCCACAGTTCTCCTTCAGGCAGAGGAGGATTCCTCACTGTTTGGAGGAGGCACTGTGTACCGGCTCAGGCTCAGGACTGAGAGGCAGCAATCACACCCTGGATGAGAGTGAGAGAAGCACATGCTGTACATGCCATAAAGTCAGTAGACTTGTGTCTTTTGACAGATTTATTTGAGCTCTTTCTCTTGCCTTGCGTTAAAACTGCACATAGTCATCACGCATTTTGAAAATGTTGCAATTTTAGTCTGAATCGCTCAGTTCCACTCCTAGCTTGGTTCCTAAAGGACAAACTCACGTGTTTTACTGCCGTGATCCTTGCCAGTCCCTGTGAGTAACCCTCTGTGTGATATTGATGCTGCTCTGGTGTTGTCTGTCACAGAGCATGATAAGCCTATGAAAGGCCTGAAGGAAGACGACCTCATGAACCAGGACCTCATCATTGAGCTGAGAAAGGAGTATGGCATGACCTACAATGACTTCTTCATGGTACTCACCGACTTCGACATGAAAGTTAAGGTTAGTGCCCTGGATAAAGGCGTCTCACCCTGGACAAGGGCATCTGCAGAGCAAATAATTGACAATGAAATGAAATAAATAAAGTGAATATACAGTATGTAAGTCCAGAACAAAAATTGACACAAGCATTGTCTGGCAACCCGTCCTGAGCATCACTTTGAGTCCTGATGCAGGAACCCCCTACAGAAGATCATAATTTATATCATGTGTATGGAAGTGGTTTTTAGTCTTCTTTTTAAACTGGACAGTTTAAACATTGTTTTGGACTTGATAGGCCAGGCTCGGCCAACATATTAAACAATTTAGAATCAGAAATGTTACAAGGTTAACAAGTAGCGCCTTCTTTTCTACAGTTTTACAGTTTCCCCCCATTGGAGAGGCCAGTCTTTGATGTCTTTGGGTCTCAAGCACATTGGGATGACTCACCTATAAATGCAGTACTTGCTGACTTGTCATGTTAACTCCCATGTCTTGGATAACCGTATTTTCATTCTGCAGTATTTAATTTTGGAAACTTTGACTTTCTACTCTGTCCAAGTCAAACACTATTGCATATAAGCCGGTGTGTATCGAGGGGGTTTCTGCTGACAGATGTTATATACAAAGACAGGACTGTGCGCTGAGCTTCAGCAGGAGCAGCATAAACTTAATAAGAATCTGCTTTGTGGCTGTCAGTGTTGTAGAGTGATCTAGAAATCTCAAAATATGAATGCGAAAACTGTACTGTAAAGCTCTATGTTACGAAAAGTAGTGAGGACCCTATGCAGAAAACGAGGGCAAACTCCAAAGGCGTAGGCGAAAGAACAATCTGAGGTCTGAAAGCCCAAGATAAACTAGCCGATGCAAAAGTACAAATAACCAGAGGCGGAGTGAAACCATGAGGAAGCAGAGAGTCAAAACCAGAACGAGAGCAAAAGTACCAAAACCGAAACCAGGAACAAACCTGGGTCAGGAAGCCAAAAACCCAGTAGTAAATAACAATGAGACTGGGAGCAGCTCTAGCCAGGAAAACCCTAATACTGAGCGCAGGGAAGAGTGTGAGGCAGCATTAAATAGGCTGGGGGAAAAGGGCTAATTGGGAACTGTGCTGGAATGCGAGGTCGAATAACGAGTCTTCCGGGGGCCTGGCGTAACACTCTATGTTCGATTCACAGTAATAAAACCCAAAACGACAAAATAAAGCAGAAAATGCTTACATGCTTGAATGCATATTTTCAGGTTGGGAACATAAAAGATGTGTAGCTTTTTGATGACCTGTGGTACTCAAGTAGCCTCTTCTTAATATATCTGAAACTGGAGATATTGTGTATATTGTACACTATCTCTCTGCTAGGACTGCTACAAGGGTATATTGTAAATTATATAAAATGTACATCATTTTATATAAGTTGCTTTGGTGCTAAAGACTCTTATATCCATTCTTCCAAACAATTATATGAAAAGACCGTTAGAAACAACCTGAGAAAAGATAAACAATGAAAATTAACTGATTTAAATTAATTATCAAAGAAGAATATAATATTAACAGAACTGTGTCCCTCAAGTTAAAGGGAAGCAGGTACTGCAGCAGTTTTCTTGGAGGTTTAATCTTGTTTTATTGGTCGTAGTTATTACAATTATCCATATTCTACTGACATCTACTGGTGAGAAGCACCAAGAAATAACCCACAATTCTTGGCAAGGAATTTTACCAGAAACTACTAATTAATGTTGAACTGTCAGAATGGATTCCTCTGCAGACAGAAGTAAGGGTTTGAGCAGGCATTTCCTTTCACCAAACAAAACACACCCAGTCCAGGTCCATCAGGTCAACAAGCCTGCTGCTTTTCATTTCAGCCCAGCTTCCCAGCCTCGTTAGCGAATCGAAGCTTTAATCATGCTAACAGGTTTTTTCTAGTTGTTTTCTTGTCAAAAGCCTGGGTTCTTAATTTCCTTATGAAATGCCGTAGTTCAGAGGCTGCTTGTAGTTTAAGAGCTGAAAACAGCCAAAGCCGTTCAAATCAATCCTGTTATTACGTTTGTTATTCAGAATATATGTTGCTTCTTGTGAGCTCATTGGCTGCTTATGTCCTGTTCCAAATACAGCCTCACTAAACTGCAGGAGTAAGGGTTCAGGAGTGTAACTGAGATTTCAACGGGAACAAAAACCAACAGGTGTGTTTGGGCCTGCAGGAGCAGGATTGGGAACTACAGGCTAGGGTAGTACAGAACTGCCATTTTTTGGTGATGTCTTTTGGGTTCTGTATTGATTTTTGAAACCCCTAAGCAAAACAAAAAGAGAAGAGGAAAAGCAGAACTGGGCTGGAGCTCGGCGAGATCATTTCGCTACACCTACGGCAGGGGACCTCAGCCTGGGTTCTGAAGAGCTCCGGTCCAGCCCCGGTCCAACAGGTTTCATGGGCACTTACCAATATCTAAAGGCCGGGATCGATCGATCGATCAATCATTAAATCGATCAATCAATTAATCAATCAATCAGTCAATGGAGGGATTGGTTAGATCTAGGTCTAGTTTTGAGATCATTTGGAACATAAATCATAATACCTTCTGCATTTATAAAGGAACAGAGTTCTCTTAATAGAACAAATAACTTACTTAATTGAACAATAAGTTGCAAGTGTTTCTCATTTGGGTGATCTGTAAGACTAAGTGGACTGGGGCTATTCGGGACCAGTGTCGGACATACCCTGTACAGTATCCGAGATTTAGCTTTTGTCCCCAGCTGCTCAGAAGAATACCCTCTATCTATACAGTATGTTTATCCATATTTTTTACTTCTTGTTCTGCCTTTCCCCCACCCCAGCAATACTACGAGGTGCCCATTGCAATGAAGGCTGTGTTTGACTTCATCGACACCTTTCCCTCGCGCATCAAGGAGATGGAGAAGCAAAAGAAAGAGGGAGTGCTTTGCAAAAAGGAAGACAAGCCAAGATCCCTGGAGAACTTCCTGTCAAGGTAGGAACAACACATGACAGTTAATAAGTTTAGGTTCATAATTGTGACATTTCGGCATTTCGGAGTATTGTGGCACTCTTTTGAAAGCCGCATTATAATTGTGCAGGACAGCAATGTGTACTGCTAACAACGGAGGAAAGGCCCTGTGTCATGATTGTCATGATCGTCAGTGTGCTAAAGGGTTGGAGACAGTGAAAGCTCAAAGAGATGAATTAACTCATCAAGGGCTAGGATAGAACAAAAATGACAGGGTTGCGAGTCTCTCCAGGACACCGACCAGGGCTGTCCAGTCCTGGTCCTGCAGGGCCAGTGTGCCTGCTGATTTTCACGGTTTCTTTAAAGCAGAAGCTGCTGAAGAGCTGGGAGAAGCTGATAAATCAGCCCAGTTAAACCAGTAACCAGCTGGTTTTGCTCAGAGCTGAGTTGGAATGAAAACCTGCAGATACACCAGCCCTCCAGAACCAGGATTGGTCAGCCCTGCCATAGAGTTTCAGTAGCTCAAGTTCACGTGTCAGTTTAATTCATGTTCATGTGCATGAAACATTTATTGCTATTTTCTAATCAGCTTATTCAAATGTATCGTTAACCTAACCTAATGTTCTAAAATCATTACATTTTCCTAGCACTTGCAAAGGATCTGCCTGTCTCTGTCCCTAGTCACATAATAAAATTTGTCCTTTAAAAATAGTCCACTGCATTGTCTGGTTGGGTTCAGGTTTTCAGCCTTTGATGAGAGATGCTTTATTTTTTTTTTGTAAATGTGGAATTATTATTTTTATTCCTTCTCCTTTTTTTGAATTGTCATTTGCTGGCCAGTTGCTCATCATGCACTGTACTCTGAGCAAACACCTTATCAGGAGGCCCAAAGTCCTGTATTTTTTGTTACAGTGCTGGGCTATGGCCAGCTCAGCACTGTTTCATTTTATATAACGCATGACTGAGGAATGAAGTTGCTGGATGACTGAGGTGGAAAGTCTGAATTCATATTAAATCAACAGAGGCTGAATCAGTCTCATACCTGAAAGTCCTGTGAATATATGTTGCTTCTAGTGAGCTCATTGCCTGCTTATGTCCTGTTCCAAATACAGCCTCACAAAACTGCTGGAGTTTAAAAAACCCTCCAGACCTTTAGTGTGCATTGTATGAACAGTACAACCTAGGGCTGAGATTTTTGACAAATATCAGGCATCTTCTGTCATTAAATGAAGCTTTTGTGCAGGCATAACACTGCAGGGGGATTTTTTTAAGTGGGCCAACACTACATCATGGTTTTGGACACTGCAATCGAAAGTATGGTCCTAATGACTCATGTGGAAAAACTGGCTACCTCCTCCAGCAGATTTCATTCAAAAACCAGACTGTTTGTAGAAGCCGCTTTTCTTCTTTCGTAATGTAGCCATAAGTTTTTTTAGTATCTTTCTTTCTTTCCGGTTTTATGTTGTGTGTTTTGCTTGGAACAAAACAATATGTCATGACGTTTTCTAAACAATATTGTTCTCTAATCAGCACTAATGTAATTGTAAGTAACGTGACAACACACACAATACAACTAAGCTAAGACCAAACCTACCCTAGCTATTCATTAGGCCTAATAATGACTACTGCAGACGGTATTAACTTGCCCAGCTGAAACATAATGAAGGAACTGTTACATTACGTTAGGGAATTCTAGTCCTAACTCCATTCAACCCCTAAACCTCAACCTTAATTCAAACCTTTTCTGGACCATAAACATAACAAGGCTTAGCTGCCCTTGTCAAAACCTTAGCACCCATCTTTAAAAGAAACACAATTAATTTCTGCTTTAGGATACAGTAAAGACGTTTAGGGTATTCAGGGTGTTTGCTCAAGAATGGGTTAGTGGCTCGAGGCTGACGGACTAACGTGGTTTCCCTTGTGTGCGCTGCCGCCAGGTTCCGCTGGAGGCGGAGGCTGTTTGTCATCTCCGCCCCGTCTGACGAGGAATGGGCCTATCAGCAGCAGCTCTACGCTCTGAACAGCCAAGCCTGCAACCTGGGTGAGTTCCGGCACCTTGTGGCCTCCGTGGGTTCTGATGGCTGAACAACGACTGAGGCTCAGTTTTATTCCCTTCTACACACAACACAGACTGAAGGGAGTCTGCATCTCGACTACCTCAGCTAGACCACACGACTTCAACATTCATTTTCTGTAAAGTTAGCCTTATTTTAATGCCGTATTGTCATTCAAAGGTTCCTCACAGTGGAAAATGTCTCTCCTTTTTTGTGGACAGCTGCAAATGTCAGTTGAAAGATTTTCCCAGTTTCCCAGACAACCACAAGACTTTGCCAGGATTTTAGCGCCATGACTCAGAAGAGATTTGCAGACAAGATGAGTTTTACTGTGCTCATTGCCCTATTGTGTCATGCACACTCCAGACGTTTCTAAAAGTGGCTTTGAAACGCACACATCATACCACAGATTGCTATTGTTCTACTTTTCATGTTCTATTAGTAATTGTGTCATGTCAGGGGTCACAAAATTGACTCAAAATGCTTTGCAAAAAAATCTTCTTCTACCAAAACCAATTACGAACAATATTCGTTTTTTTATATATGGCATGTTGCTATTTTAATTTTTTCACAGCACTTTTAATCCTTTGTCAATATGTTTTAGTCTATTATTTGCATACCAGAATAAAACTTAATTTTATTTCATCTGTACACCAGCTGACTGCTGCTGGATATAACACCATGAGAAAGGACATAAACAAGATGAGGCCAGTTGGTCCACCTGGCTCATTTGGCTGGTAGTCAGAAATTGGCCTCAGTTCTCATTAGGCCACTTCTTGAAAGAAGTTACATGTTATCTTCAACAATGTGGCCCAGCAGCTGGCTCTCGAACTGCCGCAGCCCTCTGTGAAGAAGTGCCTCCTGCTCTTGGTTTAAAATGCACTTCTTCATAGTCTCTAAACTGCCATATGTTGACAATCTAACATTAGAAAGAATGTTTCCTTTATTTGTAAATATATACATTGGTAAATGTGCACATTTGAAAGTAGAAAATTGTAGCTTCAGTTGTGGAATGGAAATGCTTTTGCACACTACCGCTGAACTTGCAGATCTGACAAATCTGTTTTGTTTGACAAAGACATGTGCGGTTGATGCTGTTAAAGAATGCATTCAAAAAGGATAAGATTGTTTTTGTTTGGTTTGAATTAGACTTCATTTCCAGCTGCACAGCCTCCGGCTTCTTTTCCAGTGATGACAAGCATTGCAATTCCCACTACTGTAAAAGGGGATGTCTGTTATTCAGAGAACAAGACTGTCTGCTGGTTGACTGAAAATAAAAGTGATCCTAACCTTTGGATACTTTGAGGACTTAACAGCAAATGCCGGTACAAATATATTTTCCCAAACGAATAACCTTCTGAGGCATTTGACAATCGATTGATTACTCTTCTGGAAAATGGTCCTACTAACACACCTTTTATTGGCCACCAGGTTTACGTCACGTGGCTGTCCTGAAGCTAGTTGGTGTCGGGCCTGAGGCAGGAGGGGTACTGGAGCTGTTTCCTATCAATGGTAAGGTTCCTGCTCTACTTCAGCATCTCTGGTGTGAACCACGGTGCTGCTGCTAGGGTGGAGATGGGGTCCAGGGAGGAGTGTGAGTCAGCGAGAAGTGTGATTTGTACAGTATGTGCAGGGGAAGTGGGCGGGATTAGGGTGTGACCTCCTCCCCAGCTTTTGTTTTAAACTGCATTGACAGGAAGGTCAGTCATGTTTCTGTGTCGAACTGGCTGAGCAAATACACAGTACATCAGTTCAACACTTGCCACTTGAGAGAAGAAAATGGATGGAACCTTTGAAGTGTTTGCATGAGAACCTCAGAGTTGGCAAGTTGGTATTTTTTCTACCCACTCTACCCATTTCTGTTCTAGCTTAGGAAAAACAAATGCGCAGTAATTAAGCTGGAAATACTGGAATTAGGTTAGAATGAAGCTGCTGATTCTTACCCTAAATTTTGTAAGTTAATATTATTTATACTCAATATATATTTATAGAAGAAGACATTTTGGCGTAGAAACAAATACTCAGATGTTATGAATGACCTGAAAGGTAGGCCTCCGTTAACAAATGATATTTGGTTCCATCCATAATTGGTGAAGCTAAACTCTCTGGGTCTAATGTGACTGTGATGTGATTCAACAAAGCACTTTGAACATTCATGTGATAAGGAATGGGGGCAGCCAAACCGCACTGTGCTATCTCCTGTCTTGCACAGCTGTCTTAAGTTCAAGACATTCATTTAAACATAAGGACAAAAACCTTCTGTATTTCCCTCCTCTTGCAGTAGTTGCCAGTAGTTGAATCAGTGGCTCTAAAAGATAACAGAGCTCCAGCATCTTGTATTGACACAGCTGGGCTGTGTGCAGCCTGAAGGACTGCAGGTGACCCGCAGTGTGGCAGGTAGACCTTTGTGGTCGGGCCTGCTGCTGCTGTTCCAGGCCCTCTAACAGACACAGCAGTCTGGGAAGTCAGGAGGATGTATGCCAAGAAGAAATATTTTGCAGTAAGGAAGGAGAAACCGGGGATATATGAAGTCGTTGGGAATGGTAAAACCACAGAAATGTTCAATTCCCTTTTGTGTTTGTCCACCTGTAGGGCGAAGCCGTTTGGAATTCTGCACCCTCTTAAGAGGAGGAAACTGGCTACTTTGGTGGTGTGCAGAGTTGTGTTTGCTGGTGTTACACCTTCATTAAATTTGTAATATTCATAAATCCATCATTTTTAATTTACTCTCCTATTATGTTATCCTAGGGCTTGATATTGAGAAAAAATGGCAGTACATTAGAAAAGTATATTGACAGTGACGGGAAAAAAATGACCAAATCATCATAACAAAACAGGGTACATTGATTCATTGTCTGTTCTGAAACTGTCAGAAAGCAGTTATAACACAGACGGAACATTACAGCGAAAGACAGTTTGAAAGTACAGCAAAGCTCTGTCTGCGATTTCAGTCCAGCTCTCACTGCCGAGATCTACTGTGTCTTTGGTCTCAGGCCAATACGGTTTCTCAAGACTTTGGCAGGTTTTTAAAAAACAGCTGAGTAAAAAGCAGAGCTGTGCCACTGCCACTGCTTTGCACTCCAGGTAGTTTCCAAGCCCATGATGGCGTTTTTGTGTCAGACATAAGGACACAAGAAGGGTTACAAACGATGTGATGTACAGTAGCAACCAATACTGTACCCAATATTCTAAATGACAAGAACTTTTACATACCAGAGGAGACCATTCTGACCATGTGTCCCATATGGTAGTTAGAAACAGGAATTTGAAATGAAGAAAATCTGGAGTTGAGCCTAAACCCAAGAAATCCGTTGTATCTTCTGGTTCACAAATTTACTGTTTTGTGGGAGTCTTTTGAACTGACTTTATTGATGACATTTTGAATTCTTGTGTGAGGCCCCCTTATAATCTCCTCTGTTCAAAACAAAAAAGGTTAATTTACTTCATCCTGTCAGTGTAGGATATTCCTTTAAGTCCGGGAATGTAGTCTGGTTGCTCTTCTATGAACCGATTCTTTTGTGCACTGTAGCGACCAAAACTTTATACAATATTCTAAAAAGAGGTTTTATTATTGAGTTGTACAATTTTAACATAACATCCATTTTATATTTTAAAATATGCATCCCAACATTCCCCTTGTCCTTTTTAATGCTTTTTTTTTGTCCCTTGCAACTCCTGTATTACTATTCCTCCTACAGTAATTTGGTCTGCCAACCTGACTACACTGGACCTGTTCAGTATATCCTGTTAAATACACAGACCATATTCTCAATTCATGATATCATCTCAAGTGTGCGATGTGAAAATGAATAAACCTCTTATCAGTGTTTAAATTCTCATTAGTAATATACAGTATATGTCCAGTATATGTCAGCTTGAAAAATAGCTTAGTCCAAATGTGGGATACCAACTTTTGAAGATACTGTAAGACAAAAGCCACAGCTCTGTGGCTGTATTTCTAAATTCATACCTTACAGAATCCTGAATGCCTACAATGAAAAGATGAATACAAAGTCTCTATGTGTACTAGTATAGGGTGTCAAACTTTCTTATTTTAATACAAATTATAAATAATGTGCTATGGAGTCAAAGGGGAATAAGTGAGTGAGTTGTGTAAGATTAGCACTTTATTTCCTCCAAAAAACAAAGACTTTTGGCCACATAATTGAAATATCACTGAGCCAAGGCAGTAGGTGAGTACCAGGCCTTGGTTTCCACGGTAACTAAATGCTTTTTGAACATTGTGCAAATATATGAACAGCTGCAACAACTTCTGCTGCTGAGATTTTTGCTACAATTTCAGTACAAACAAGAGCTCAAGTGTTAGAAAAATGTATAGATTCACAGCTTCTTACAGTGCTCCTTTAAAGATGCTTAAAAGTACCCCTAAGTGCTCTCAATTGGAGAGCTGCTGCGTAAGTCTTGAACTGTGAGGAGCCTGGAAGTGCTCTGGGAACCACCTAATTGTAGTCTGGCGAGGGGGACTATAACATTCTTTCTCTGCCTGTTCGCAGGAAGTGCTACCGTGGACCGCGAAGGCCTCTCCATGTCCTTGGTGAAGGACATTCGGAACTACTTCCAAATCAGTCCGGAGTATTTCTCCATGCTCCTGGTCGGGAAGGACGGCAATGTGAAGTCCTGGTACCCCTCTCCCATGTGGTCTATGGCGATTATCTATGACCTTGTGGACTCCATGCAGCTCCGACGGCAGGAAATGGCCATCCAGCAGTCTTTGGGAATGAGGTGTCCAGAAGATGAATATGGGGGTTATGGATATCACCATCAGGGGTACCATGACGGCTACCAGGATGACTATCAGAGGGGCTCCTATCACCATGGATACCATTATTGAGGGAAGCCGTTTAACCTTTGACCCTAGTGGGTTTTTTTACAAATGTTTTAATAAATGTTCTGCAGGGCTGAATGGTTTTGTTTTCTGAAGCTACATTCCAATAGTACCAGGACACCTCTCCCCTTCCTTTTTTTTATGATGTTTTGCGACAACAAATAAAAATGGTTACAATTTGTTTTTAATGCCAGGACATGAAATGTTGGGAGGATTTTATTCAGAGGTTGACAAAAGAAAATGGGGTTAATTTTCCAGATAAGGACATTGTAGATAATCAAGAAAACTTTTTACTGTATAGACATCTTTTTTAATGTTACATTTGTATTTATTGGATGTTGGCTTCTTTTGTAATGGTATATTATGATTGGACTTTATGAACAGTTGTGTCACTGGACAGGTTTCTGTCACATGTTCTTATTTATATACAGAAAATAAATAAAGCCTTCATGCTGACACAAAAATCAGATATCTCAAATTGCAAATTAAATGCTCGTGAACATTGATGCCTTTTCCTTGTACAATGTAACAATGCTTTCTGAATAACATGTATCCTATCCTTCAAATCACATTACCTCAAAAGTTACATGAACTTTTTTTAACACCAGATATTTGCAGTGCTTAAATTTAAACATGTTATTTTGACACCATTATAGTTATTAGGACAATTCAGCCTACCCAGAATGCTAACAATTAAAGTGTTCTGGACATTACAAGACTGTAGCCCTTCTGGGTTTCTGGTGTGAAGCCCATATCATGAGCATTGTGCCTTTTTGGTTGCTAGCACCAGATATAAATGGCATTTGGCCAACAACAGTTCACTACGGAGGTCATAACAAATGAGGACCATTCATTTTTGTGCGCAGCAATCAATTTCAGCAATCATTAAGAACAGGGCTTCATTCTCCAAAGGTCTGCGAGGGGCAGACTGTATACAAAGTCACATGTATCCTAAACTATGGCCCAATGCCAAAACCCCCACCCTAAACTGCCTCTGGTGAGTAGTATTTTCTCCTGGGCCTGGAGGGCCATTGTCCACCTGAAATTCTTTGTAATCTAGAATCCTCAAAGAGTAAGGTTAGCAGCTGATTTTTTTCCAAAAACAAATTGGTATAAAAAGTGAATTGTGGTAATATAGACCGATTAAAAAAAACAGTTGATTCCAATCAAGCCAAAAAGAGTCCAGGCTATAATGAAAACTAGAAGACAGAGTGGCCAAAACTATCACTATCACTTTTGTTGGCCATTTTCACTCTGCTACAGAAGTAAATTAAGTTGGGTGCGTCTTTGCCATTGAATTTGTAAAAGGAAAACAAGCCACTTGATAAATCAAGAGTCATTAGGGACTTTTTTATTTAATAGTACCACTGTTCTGCATGAATTGCAGAATCACAAGTCACCCCCTCAAAGACTTGGTAGGCATTTTGAAAAGCTTATTTTGATCTGGAAAGAAGATATGATCAACTGTAATGTCAAATTCACACTTTTCAGATAACCAAGAGTTAAAGCTGTTTATTTTAATGAGCCTGAATTTTCATTGCTTTTCTTTTCACAGTTGCATTCATTCCAAAACTTTGAATATAGCTAGTGACGACACATTTAATAAAAAATGTAAAAACATTTAGCAATTTAACCAATTAGCAATGTTATTTGCTCCAGGAAAATAAACACAAGGGAACTAATTTAACAAATAAAGCTAATTTTGAGGGAAACAGGACATTCTTGTGGCTGTATAAGTAACAAGCATTGTTTCTCTATATGCCTAATAAAGCACTTATAATTAGATATACTGTAATGTACATATGACATATTCAGCATAAGCAGCACTGAATGAAACTTGAGTTCTTTAATAAAAAACATAACCTAGTTCACACCAACAAAACATTAAAAATTACAATTAGAAATAGCTTTTTCCCTAATAAATATTTCAGATCACCAGGGGATCAGCAGGAAAAATTACTCCAGAGGCTTGGCCCTGAAATTCACAGAAAGACCTCCACAGAAGCACCTCTCCTTTCGTTTCCTCTCCATAAAGGCAGCTCTGTTTGTACACTGTGAAGCGTGGCAACAGCCTCTTCTGGCTTTCTCTCTTATTTCACAACAAATGCAGTTGGTTAAAAAAACATAGAACAGAAAATGGTTACAAACTAGAGGGGGCCATTTGGATCTCATCCAACTGTTCCTTAACAGACGCCAGGTTTATCAACTTTGATAAGACGGCAGTATAGCTTGTTGCATACTCCCACAGCTCCTTGTGTAAAGACGTGCATCCTGTTTGTGGTTTTAAATGCACTTACACATTCACCCAGAGTTTGGGAACCAAACCCCGGCTGTACAGTTGAAAGCACCGAATCCTAACCACTGCTGCACCATAACAACTAAGTTCCTCAGTTACATTTCCTTACATGATACTGTACTTTTAGTTACTGTAACTAGTGTCAGCTCCCTGAATTATTTGCATTCTTTTTCAATGTTACTGTTTGGAGACTTAGTAATCCTCACTCAAGCAACCAAATAAAAAACAAAACAAAGCCCACTTCAAGTTTTTTGTGCTTTCAAGCAACCACAGTTCAGATAGCACTTAGTGAAAAACTGGCAAATACAGAATTTTGGGTGCTTTGTGATTTGTAAAGAAAGAGATCGGGAATTTTAGCAAAGAATCCCTGCAATTCTGCATAGATACAAAGTGGATGTCAACAGTCCAGCTGATTCAGACCTTCTATAGGCTCACGTGCACAGCACCTACGGAAAATTTAAATTCCATATTTTCAATATTTCCAGCAGCGTCAAATGCTCTGTCACTTCCAACATAAACAACAGTATTGTAAAACCCTTGCTTTCTTCCTCTAAAAGCATATCCAAAACACTTATGTACTGTATGAATACCTTTATATATTTCCAGTACATATACAATGTATATACAGTAAGTATAGTACATACCTGTATACAAATATACTATTATGCTTTTAGTCCCATTCTAATCCTAATGCTACTGTATGTCATTATTTTATTAATGAGGGATACTTCAGATCAGACGTCCACAATCTATAAAATCCTGAGTTTATTTTTCACATTGGAATTTTTCAATTCTACCACAATACTGGCTTCACAGAGACGTTTCTTTGACAAGCATTTATTATTATGTGTTCTTGTTATGTCCCATGCAACAACAGGACGACAAATGTTTTGCCTGCCAGAAGAGGATGTATTTCTCTTGGGAATCTCAGAAAGACTCTTCTTCGGACTCACTGTCTGTGTTTGGTTTGGTTAACCTCTCCAGTTCTTCACCATCCTAGAAGAAGAAAGAAATAAAAACCTATAAATGGCACAAAATGATTAGCTTTTAGGGCATTCTCTCAAGTCTTCTTTCACAAACTCCAACACAAATGTGTCTTGGATTAACTTCCAGATCTTTTTTCAAGCTCAGCGATCCACTGAAATATTTTTAAAAGGCTACCTGGTCTGTACTCATCATGGCAAAAGGGGTGTTGTGTAATTTATCAGTGAATGTGTTCAGTCATTAATCCTATTCAGAACAGCTCATTTTTATTATCAAACGCATGCCAGAATGAATTAGAATGTGAGCCGTCACCTACCCCAAATTGTGAGACAGTTTAATTTTCCCCAGAATGTTTCCTTTCAGAAAAAACTGCTTTATTACTCCAAGCAGTGAGTATTTAGATCAGGGATTGCCTACACTGGTACGGTGCTTTTCATCACAGACAGGAGAGGACCCACTTCACCCACCACTGAAGAGCAGCCCCACTGCACAGCTGATCGGGGGAGAGGAGTGAGAGAACCACTTTACTCACTGATTGCATTAAAGGGGAAATTTCGGGAGGCCTGATTGTGCATGTGCAGACTGGGATTTAACAAGGCCAAGACTTGCAAACACCACCTCATGGACAAACTGACTCACATTTTGGACATCATACCGCGGTTGAAATACAGTGCAGTGGTGCCCCCTGCAGGACAGCACAAGTCAAAACAGCTGCAACAAGAGAAGATCTGAAGGGCACCAGCAATCGGGGCTATACCACATAGTGAAATCACAAAGAATAAGCATGTGGTACAATCAATTCTGATTTTCTCAATGCCCAAACATACATTTCCCAGAGTCACCCCTGAGCTACGTGGAGAATCTGCCGCACAATCTAGGAGTTACAAAAACAGACCAAGGAGCTGCTTAAATAAGCACAAGACAATTGAAAAGCATGGTGACAGAAGACATTACCCCTCATCACGTATTAACTAAAATCTGGTGGAAATATATATTCAATTAGCAAAGCAAATAAATGTCTTTCAGACAGGTGTGAAACATCAGAAGTTTTATAAATTCATGTTTGTGTTCACGTTTATGAGGCAGAAGCTAGGCGAACAACACATACTCTTGGAACAGTAAAAACATGAACATACTGTAAGAAACACTCGATTTGTAATTATATTTATCAGGAGGCTTGACAGCAAAAGGCAACATTTAAAATTAACTTTAAAAACTCACATTAAATAACTTTAATAAAAAATGTTTAGTTTTAAAAAACAAAACTCTGATATCCTGAAGAACCTTTAAAATCAATCATCTTATCATTTATTATTTTTATTTCGCCAGTCCTGTGCTCCTCAAATGTGATTTTTAGTGTTTGCAACTAGGTCAAAACACAGAACTTTGTTCAGAGGCGAGTTAGCCATGATGTGTGAATCTCAGAAGGGAAAAGGCACAAAAAGTCAATTTCTGCTCAAAACAAATGGAAGACTGCAAAGCAAAAGCCACCAACCAATTTGTTCCTAGTTCTAACTTAATATTTTGCTTAACCTTTCTCTTAAATTTTTTTTGATTTACAATAGGCTAATGCGTTTCTGCTAGAATAAACTTCATGAATTTAAAACAGATTAGAGGTTCAAGTGAAAGAAGATAATACAGTAGAATCACGATTATCCAACCTAAATGGACATAGTATGTTGGATAATTGAAAATGTCGGATAATACGGAAACTGAAGAGACAAATCATAGATTAATGGAAGCGCAGTCTAAGTATGGAATCTGGTTTATTAATCTACTGCAATACTAAAATAACAGAGTACAGAACTATGTTAAGTTTTTATTTTTTAAAAAACTGAGTGATTGGAATCTGTTTCCCAGATGTGCTTCTCTTCCTTGCGGCACAGTCCCGCCAGCGTCTTAGTAACATGACGTCAGTAGCAGTCGCCTCCTCTTGTTGTTCAACCTTAACTAGTGCCGCTTCGAAAGTACAACAGGAAAATAATCATCACGAGCGCACAATCAGCAGGCGAAGCTACGTCAACGGCAGTACGTGACACACGAGAGACAGAAGAGCATCGGATTGGGCAAAATATTATGCACACGCACGCACAGTGTACGGTATATACTGTACACTATGGTGATTGGCTATGCCGGATAAAATAGAATTTCGGATAAGCAAAGGTCAGATAATCGTGACTACTGTAAACTCAATTCTACATCCAAAGAATGGAGCATGAGAAAGTTGTGCTCGGGGGAACAGACAGGCACTGAACCTTCTAGGAACAATCCCTTTGACCAGTCCACCTCCTTGATTCACAGATCACAGATCCCTGGCTGTCAGCCTGCTGTGGCTCTGTGCCCTTACCCCTCTGGACCTCTCGAAGATCTCCCCATTGACGACCCTGAGCTTCTCCTGCTGCAAGGTGCAGTCGGGGTCGCGGGTCCTGCTGGCATTGTAGATGAAGATGGCCAGCAGCACCACAGGGGCCTGCAGGAAGAAATCTGGAGAAGGCCGGAAGTCCAGCTCGAAGAGCGAGAAGGCGGTGACGAGCACGGTCGTGATCTGGCCCGTGAGCACGTGGAACATGTTGTCCCGGAACTTGAGGATGAAGGCCACCGACAGCCCCAGGGCGGCCGTGACGAAGATGAGGGCCAGGGAGTAGGCGTTGTGGCCATGGAAGAAGCCGCAGTGCAGCGTGCGGGAGCGATATTCCGAATGCAGGACCAACGTCAGGCTGTTGAACACTACCCCAAACACGTATAGCTTGCTGTTCTGCACAAAGATGCTTTCCGTGATCTGGTCCCCTTCCTTCAGGATCTTCTCATTGTAGATGTTGGCCAAGGAGGACACGAAGCACTGCAGGAGGAGCAGGACGTAACCCAGGCCGAAGCTGTTCAGCTTCCTGATCACCTCCCCATCCCAAGGCATGCTGGGAAACACCCCCACCCAGGTGGAGGAGTTCTGGCGCTCCGCCTCCTGCTGCACCAGGTGCGAGCAGCTGTTGGAAGGCGAGGAGAGGTGGCTGGGGTGCAGCCCGTGCACCGCCGCGCCGTGCTGGCTTCCCCCGGTCGCTCTCGTCAGGGCCACGATGGACAGGAAGAGGATGACGAGAGACGCCCACTGCGTCCAGGACGAACGCCTCCTACACAAGAGGACAAGCCAGAGAATCAGAGAAGACCGATCCACTGCACGAACGGGTCAGAACTTCAGCCACACACATCACAGACGGAACTGAACGCATCCGGATCATGCTATGATGGAGACACAACACTGTGTAAAGCCTGCTGTATTTAAATGAGAAACCCTCTCACAAAAGCATGTTATATTTTTCTTACAGCATGTCCACAACCATGGTATAAAAGAGCTGCCTTCTGTACTGCCACCTGCACTGATGCATGAGATCAAGCCAACAGATACAGGGGATTGTGACTGCTCCACTTCCTGCTGGATGTACAGTATAATCTCTGTTTCAAGGACATCAACTTGATTTTGAAGGATCATTTTCTATGGTTGGCATCATGTCAGACCTTCCCTAAATATTATGGTAGCAGATTTACGGTAGGATACAAAAAAATAACTTCTCGAGCCTTCAGCTTCTGTCATTTTTTCCAAACAGGGCAACCACATCCCGTAATGTCTTTAATCCTCCAAACACTGAAAGCCACTCAGGTGAAAACAGAGGCTTTCATGGACGCTGTCCAAATGGAAACACATTTCACTAACAGGAACAACGATGGTCCTAGGAACATGACTGCTTTAACTGCAGAGGTTTACTGTGTGTGAAAAAAAACATTATTTTGGGTCAGTCGATAAAACCATTTCATATTATAATTTTCATACAAGTATCACAGGCTGAAGATTTCCAGCCTTCCACACAAACAGCATTCGCTGAAAAAATACTACATCTCTCAGTCCACCGTAGTTCAGTTTCAGATCATATGTGTCTGTGTCCTTTGCTCATCCTGGGAAGATCCTGGGAGGGTGTTACAAAAGAGTCTCCAATCTACATCAACATACCTGCTTCACGGGCTCTTTTTATAATGAAATAAATCTTTGCTGCACTGACTCAGCTACACTAAATGCCCTTAATGCTGTGATACTTACTTAAGTACAAGCCGGAATAGGACAGCTGTAGTTATGATGACGAAGTTGGAAAATAACACTGCCATGGCCTGGAAAAAAACAAGACCATTTTCAGCTACTTCTCTGCATCACATTTTTTTCCATTTCACACATCCAGACTTTAAATGATGCTAAAGTAGTATGCTTAAAGTCTAAATACAGTTCCTCCATCATCACAGTACATAAGAATGGTTACATAAGAGGAAGCCTTTCAGCCCAGTTATCCTGTGTATAGTAGTGAATTGATCCCAGGACCAGGTATCAGCTTCAATCACATGGCTGAGACGTTTATTCCATACTCCCACAACCCTTTGTGTAAAGAAGTGTCTCCTGTTCTCAGTTGCCACCTTTGCACTCTTGCCTATAATAAATAATAACTTTATAAATATTACCCTTGTTTGATAAATTACTTACAGAAAAAAAAAGTTATAAATCATATAAAATCGTACAGATATACCACATTTATGTATGCGTTTTACACAATAACTTGTGGAAACACAATTTAGAAAAAAAGAACAGCAGATTCCTTCACTGAACAAAACTTAAAACTTAATAAGAATTTCCCATTTTTCCCATTACAGGATCTTGTTACCTTCTGGAAAACAAGTTTGAGTGCCCTAGTTAAGCTGACAGACATAGGCTTACAGAACCAATCACCAATAGCTGGACAACAAGAATGTCCACATGCATCACCTTAAATTCCATTTCTAGCTGATTTCAGAGTGTTATGGGCCGCAATCACTATTATACCGTTTTCAACATTTTTTTTGTTTTCTTTGCAATCATTGTATTGTAACAGTGTTTAAAATAACTTACAGGCTGGAGATAGGACAACACATAGAAGATGACGAGGTTGTCAATGAAGTAGAGGAATGCGGGCACTGACCACTTCATGAAATAAAGGAAATCTCCACAGGAGGAGCAGCCCCAGTCTTTGTACGAATGACCCTCTGAAAGCAAGCAAAACGCATTACTAAACCACAACTGTTTTTGTCCAATGGTTAAAATACATTAGATTTCTTGCACAATCCAAGGTAGTAGCTTAAAACTTCACTAACTAAAATCCAATCCCACATATGGCCATTTGGTTAAGAAGTAGAATTTTACAGGTCAACATTAAACCAAAGGAGTGGTTTAATTTCAATTTATTTTTAGATCAGCTGGTATTTAAGTACTTCAGCACTACATTAAAAACAGGCACATACGTATATAATCACATAACACGTGAGTTGTGTAATGGATTGCTTTTTAAAATAAAGAAGTTGGGACAAATTGCTCTTAAGCAGTAGTGTAGGACTCAACACAGTAACTACGCACACACTTCATATTATAGTTCTCTCTAACTAATGTGTTTTTACTGATGGTGGGGCATCCATGTGAAGACATTGCTATTGTACTCGTGAGCAAGGTATTTCACTCAGATGGCTCCAGTAACATACACATCGGAATAAAAGGTTTAGATAAAAGCTATATATAAAACTAGCTACAACCTAAAGAGTTCTTGCCAATTTTAAAATCAAAATCACAAGCCTGCTTCCAGGGTTGAATCAGGGTCGAGGCCACTGCACTCAATGGGCTGTGTGCCTCCGTCTCTGGGAGCTCACCCCGAATCATGACGCGCAGCGCCATCCCCAGGCAGAAGACCAGCTTGACCCCCTCGGCGCACAGATTGACAGACGCAGGGAGGTAGTCGTACTTGTCTTCTGCGGAACAAAGAGAAACTCGTTGGGGCCGCACATTAGGCATGGCAAGAGAGGCAGCGAGACGGCACGCGTGCGGCGTGTGGTGCTGAGGTTCTTGGCGTGCGTACCTGCGTTGGCAGACAATTTCAGCAGGAGGATACGGCTCGTGCCCAGGGTAACAAAACCAGCGCCCAAGACCACGGTGTAGGCACAGGCCCGGGACCACAGCCAGGGGCAGGAGGAGCACTGGGGAGCCATGGCGTCTGATTCGGACAGCGGAATGCTGGGACATAACAACACACTCTTAGCAAGAGGAAGACATGTGGCCATTATACTCATGCAGCAGCTACAGTGGCTAATTGATCACCATATCTCTGTTGCTGTGTCCAGAACATAAGAAAGGTAACAAATGAGAGAAAGACATTCAACCCAACTAGCCTCTGGGGTAATTAGTAGTTAATAGATACAGGGATCTTATATGGCCATTCCTTGAAGGAGGCCAAGCACTGGCTTCACCAACATGCCTGGGTAGCTTGTTCCAGACTCAAGCAACCCAAAAACATTCACAGATGGTTTGGGATGTTCACTTCCTGTATTTGGCTGTTGCTTCCATCCAAAGCAACTTACATTTGCAGCCATTTTTATACAGCTGGGTGTTTTAGTGGAGTAATTCAGAGGAAGTAATGAACAGCAGTGTTTCACCTGGAATTCGAACCCATAACCTTCCAGTTACAAGTCCAGATTCCCGGCAACTGCTCCACACTGTGATCATTCTTCACAGTAACAGGCAGTTTTGCCTCTTCACTTTTTCTCAAGCCTCTGGTGTAAATTTGCTTAACTCGTTAAGCATACATTTGCTAAAAATGTAGAATTAGTATTAGACATACTAAATAGATAGACCTAAATATTTTAAACTATAAACTGCATTTTTGGCATTACAATGAACAGTAAGTCCTCATCTGAAACCACCAAGCAAAAGAAGTATCATAAGTATATAGAACATAGAACAGAACAGTATATAGAACAGCTGTAGTTTTGACTTGTGTCAAACTCAATTTGAATTCCATCTTGCCAGACCCCAAATCAACAGGACTGGTTTGAGGACATACGCTCTATAGTATAGCCCTGCATTGAGAGTAAAGCTCTAGATAAGGTGAACAATGAAAAAGGTCACAAGAAAGTACAAGAGATTTTTTCCACTCCCAGTGAAAGACATTATACACTAAAGTTCTAGTGAAATTACACAGGGGTGCACAATGTGAAACAACAGGTGCATGAACCCAGGAATCACAACAGGTTCCAGTGTTAATATATACTTAAATAAAGCACCTGCTACTCTAAATATGTAGCAATGGAATAAAGTCATGAATTGAAATAACATGGCTGGAATGGACTCCTGCACTCATCAAAAAGAGAGCTCCACCCATCTCCAACACCTCAAGGTCATCTTGGTTCACTTCCTGCTGGCCAGAGGTGAGGTCACCATGATCTTCTGATGAGCAGAGTCACCGGCAGACAGAAGCAGGCAGGAAACCTGTTCATCTTCACTCTCGCTCTGCCCAGAATACTGTCGCTGAAGCTCAGTCATGTTTTTTGGTGGCAGAATTTGGCATTTGGCACTCAACCACAGACTGTGTGAACTTACTGCTTTTCATTCTCTACTGATTCCATGTCTATCCTTCTACATTTTACTTTCGCAGTGGCTCTGTGGCTAAGGATCTGCGCCTGTGGCTGGAAGGTTGCTGGTTTGTATCCCACAGCTGGAAGAGGAATCCTACTCTGTTGGGCCCCTGAGCAAGGCCCTTAACCCCCATTGCTCCAGGGGCGCTGTACATTGGCAGACCCTGCGCTCTGACACCAGGCTCTCTCCCTATCTGTGTGTCTCACGGAGAGCAAGCTGGGGTATGTGAAAAGATCATTCCTAATGCAAGAAACTCTAAAGGGTTAATAAAGTGATGTTATTATTATTATAATTGTCTGCTTTCCTGAAATAGAGATCTTTTCATTTTGACTCTACCTGTACAGTTTCAAACTCTTCTGCATGTAGTAGTAAGAATGTAACCCATTCTTTAAAGCATACTGTACGTTTTTGTATAAGTCTTTGGCTACACATTGCATTTGAAAGTTATTAAACACGCCCAGCAGTACTAACAAAAATGTAATAGGACTTTAGAACTAAAAACTCTCTGAAGGACTGCAATGAAAAATCTATTTGACACTGCAGAAGAGCTCAGTGAGGTACAACATCTCAAAGTGGAATTGCAGCAGTTATTCGATATAACTGAAGCATCTGTCACTGTGTTACCATTGTTTTCGCTCTAGATCGAGGTTGTGTTTAATTCCTGCAGAAGCGACACCGTGGCCATTAACTCTCATAACATTCTGTCTCCCCGAGGCCGTAATGATAAAGTTCAAGCGGCGGGTATCGTTTTCATTAGTAAGCCTTACACATAACGTGTCTGGATACAAAATCATCGCCGTGTGTAAATACAGCACAAGTAGGACAACCACTAGCTATCGGCAAAGTGCATTTGGACAGTATAGCAATGAAGTAAACTCAACGTGACGTCTTTTTTCTAATCACAATTACGTAAATTCTTTAAACGATCGAGTGGGCTGAAAATAAACCTTCATTGCGGTTAACGTGTCCCACAGGCCAACATAATTCAATTTAAATCTGCAGTGCGTTTTACCTGTCCCCCAGCCTAACCCGTATTCATTGTCCCGTCATCACTTCCTATTCCAGAGCTGTACTGTAAACACGCCCGACGCGACGTGAACGTAGAATATGTGGGGTGAGTACGTCATCTCGGAGGAAGCTGTGAATTAGGCAGAGATAGATGGAAGTATATCGAAAAATACGGATAATTTAAACGTCTGCGAAGCACACGCAGTAGTTGCCTCTTTTAATATAAGAGAGAAATTTTAATAGATATCGAGGACTTTTATCCAGCTACTTACGGATCCTTCTTGTTCAATTGAGCCTATATACAACTATGTTGTAGCAAGAACGATTATATGAGTTTTTGATTTCTTAATGTTTTTTTTTTTCTCGGACAAAATCCTATTCATAATACTGTACTGAAGTCTACAAACATCAGTCATTACATAAAGAAATTGTGAAGACGAACATTTCTAAGAGTGCTGTGTATAAAGGCTTATTCAGCTTTTAAACTAGGGGAGCCCTTCTTTTTGCTTTTGTATATAGCCCATTTAATTAGCGCCACAAAGCAATATAAACTAAGAGTATATCAATTTGCTATAAAGGTGATGAAAATATTAAGATGATACACTCAGGGCTATATATTTCCAATACGGATAGTAAAGTCACCTTTACCTGTGAGCTACAAAGAATGCAGTTTAATGGCCTCCAAATTCGACACATTGTATCTGAGAATAAAACGGTGAATGCATTACATTTTCTGGGATTTCAAACTTGTGAAACATTACAACAGCAATAGCATGATATAGTTTTCAGCTGTGTTAAAGTCACGCGCGACCTCACGAGAAGCGAGACACGGAAGTGGACGGTCACATGACGAGGGAGAACGGTCATGTGATCTGGTGGCAGCTGAAGTAGTAGTGAACGGGTTGAGCTGGGGGCGAAAAGAGAATAATTTCGAAAAACGAGTTTCGTGTGTAGAGTTTAACTGTGTTCGGAAGGGGCCTGGATTTGAAACATGCAAAATGTCATAAACTCAGTGAAGGGGACGGCGCTGGGAGTGGCCGAGTTTCTTACCCCGGTGCTCAAGGTAAGACTGGCCGAGGAGGAAAGAGCAGGGGAATGAAGCGTTAACTCCAAAATGCGCTTTCCAAAGAGAAGTCTTTGTACTGCCCACTAGATAGACGGATTTTGTTTTCACCTTTCTCCTCTGATCCCAAACCTACATCCCTCGTAAAATGTGGCGGATAATATGAAGACAAGACTGGTGACGTCCATCAGTTCTGTAAAGTTGTATGCATTGGTACAACTTGAAGACGTCGAACAGTAAAATCCACTAAGTTTGATGCTAAATATATAACGATGACGAAGATCTTAAATTGAAGTTCTTCGTGGCTGTCTCCCGCCATTACATTCTTGTTGTAGGGGAATGGGAGTAGAAATGTGAAGTATTACACCTTGCAGTTTTTCTTTCTTCTGAACCGAATGTTGCGCAGTTGCTTACCATTGGCAGGGCGGACTCGCGGGAGTATCGTGGAAGAGAGAGAGAAGTGCAGAAACATTCCTTCTTTTTAACATAACACGCTCGTTTTACATTTCAAGTCTGTCCGTTTGCAGTGGCTGCTCAACCGGGCTGCTATGTGCACAAGGAAATTCTAAAAATATAAAAGTGAAAGAATTAGCAACCCAATTGTTACATCTGTCTGCGTAGTCGAAGCTAATACCGTGAAACTTGGTGACTTCTGTCGTAGTTTCAATACAGGTAAAACGAATGTGTTCTTAGTGCTCTTTCAGATTTCCACCATTCACTCCTGTATCACCTTATTCCCAGCTCATAAAAAAATGAGTTTAAGTTGGTGTAAGATTTGTCCCTCTTAGAGGGTGGAGGTCATGGAAGTACACATGAAGGGAGGTGGGACTACACCCTTTAACATAAAAACATGAGACAGATTAAAGACAGGAGGAGACCATTTACCTCTCTAGCCTCTTTGGTAGTAGCGTATTGATCCCAGGATCACATCTGGCTGTTTCTTGAAAGAGCCCAGGGTACCCTGTTCCACACTCCCACATCTCTTTGGGCAAGACATGCCTCCTGTTGCTGGTTTTAAATGCAGTTTCCACTTGTGCCCTGGACAGGACCCCAGCCTACTGCACAGTTAGGACCTCGAACAGTAGCAGCCTGTGTGTCGCTGGGAGGCGTGAGGAGACCCATATGATCTTGAATGTGGAGAGGGTGCCAGCGCCACACAGGAAGTGTCTCGTGCCAGACTCGAACCTGGCACTGAGAGCTGTGGGACAGCTACGCAAATCGCCAGGCTGCTGCTCCACCATAAATATATTGAAGGCTGTGATTGTGAGGCAGAAGCTTTTAAAATCATTTTAGAGTCTGTGCCATCAGTTTGCAGGAAGTTCATTTTAAATAGACATTTTTAGAGCTGTTCTGCTGAGCTGTATCTTATATTCGTTGTCAATGTTGACTCTATTTTCATACCTGCATAATATAGATGGCCATTAACCTGTTCATAGGGCTTACTGTTAATTGCATAAAGATTCTGGCATACAGTGACTGTCAGGAGAAGTGGTGCTACGGCAGAGTTATTGTATTCAATGGGACTAAGGATTATTTTAAGCCTGTCAGCTGTTTAAAATTCTTCACTGTGGGATTGGCATTAGCTCTGTATTGTTAAGTCATTATAGTGCTTGGTTTGAAAGTGTGAAATGTGTCACATCGCCATGTCATTAGGATAGGAATGTGTCATGCTAGCTATAAATGATTAGTGCCTAACCAACAATCGGACCAAGGGGATCTATTTAGGTCACAGTGTTCGTCCTTATACCCACCCCCTAAATCTTGAGTTTCAGCCAGTGTAGGATTTGTAGTTCCTTTCCGTGTCAGTCTTCTTACTTGCAGTGCCATCTCAACTGAAGCCCCATCTGCAGTTCCTGCTATCAAGCAAGCGCTTGCAAGTGCAGAACTGTCACTTTGTATAGGCCAATAACAGGTGTTGGGTGTTTTCTGATGTATTTTGTAATTTGGCTTTGCCAGATGTGGTATATAAATATTGTGTAGTGTAGTATTGTGTGCTTCATCGGTATTTATGAAGGATCCCATTCATTCCAGTGAACAGTTAAGATTTCAAGTGAAATAAATCAGGTACTGTAAGACGCATGGCTTAATAGAGGTGTACCTCTGCAGAGCTCTAGTATTAATTTTTGCACTGATTACATTTTAGTACACTTGGCAATGCTACTGAAAGTAAATACTGCCTTTATACTATTACTGGTAAAGCAACATGTCTGTACCAAAATGAGTGTGTTTATTATATCAGCTAGTGTTGCATTGATGAGATTTTCTTTTCTTTTCCCAAGGAATCCAAGTTTAAAGAAACGGGAGTCATCACCCCGGAAGAGGTGAGTCCATGCCGGAATCTCTGACGGGAATTGATATTTTATTGGCTCACAGTTTCAAAGACTAGTTTTCATTTCCAAACATAGGAGGAATCAATTGGTAAACCTCATCTGAAGTAGTAAGTGTGAAATATGCATTTTTGTTCTCTATCCCCCTGATTTTGCTATTTAAATCATTACCAAACACTAAGAATTTCTTAGGCTTCTCCAACCTTTTCCAGGGAAAAGACTAACTTTAAGCCTTCAAAGACACCAGAGTTGTCTTAACAGAACAGGTTGTTTGCTAGGTTCACCACTCATTTCTTCTTGTGTCCAAACTTGAGAAATAAAAGATGTATAAGATTAACTGGACCTGTCTGGGACCAGTGATTGAGACTCCCAGCAACTCTTCAGGAGATGTCTTATAATCTCTTTACAGAAATAAGTACATTAAAAAAAAGGGAACTTCTCCATTTCGAAAGCTTCAATGACTTCATTTCATTACAGTAACAGAGACAGAGTAGCATTTGTTATTGTTGAAGTTGTAAGGATTTTCTTTTGCTGAAAGAACAGGTTTAAGTATGACTTTATGACTGTACCTTCCTGATTTCACCCATCCTATTGCAGTTTGTGGCAGCGGGTGATCATCTAGTCCATCACTGTCCTACATGGAAATGGTGAGTGCAGAGCTGAGAGAAAGTGGGGATCAGTAGGGGGAATAAGGAAGGAGTGTTCAGTTTGGAGAAAGTGTGGTGTGAGCTGTAGAGGACAGGGGGGAAATTGGGGAAAATCGCAGACTTTTGGGGAAGTTTTTTTTAGTTTTAATTGCAAAAAATGCAGCGTTTCATCAGACTGGTATTTTTTTAAGGAAGTGTAATTAGGGTATATTTGTAATACAGGAACTTTGTACAGCTCTTAGGGTTTTGGCAATGGAGTTGGCACATTTTATTTTGATCTACATGACTTATTTTGATCTGCATTGAACCTTTTACAAACTTTGCGTTTCTAAGTTGCCAACTTGCCACAGTGTTTTACATGAAATAAATGTTTTAATAATGTCGAGAGACGCCGAATGATATAGGATTGAGTCAGGCATAGCTTTCGCTCTAGATTGCATAGTTTAAATATGTATGCAAAAAAGCATAGAGCTGTATGCAATCAGTCTGAGCAGTTGCGGAGGACTGTTGGGATTGCTGAAAGTAAGCCGAAATGTACTACTGTTCCATCTGCACAAGGATGGATCTGACTGCAAGTCAGATTGCAGTTTTATTAATTTTGAAACTGTTTTCTATTAGGGCTTCTGGGGAAGAAGCGAAAGTGAAGCCTTATTTGCCAAAAGACAAGCAGTTTCTTCTAACTCGCAATGGTAAGTGATCCATATTGTCTGTTGAACTCGTTTTGCACTCCGAGAATGCCACTCAGATTAGTCTCGTGCATTTTTAGGCAGCTGGCTATAAACAAAAGCAAAATATTAGAGTTGGGAGTATTGAAGGAGGGAGGGTTCCCAGCCCCCTTTTTACTTTATAGACTTTTTAGTCTATAACTCCTCCTTCATAATGGTTTAAAAAAAACAACTACACACAGGAGAAGGCAGCTTGGCACATCTCACCCATTTTAAATTTATTAAATTAATTCTTGGATGTTATTTAGCCCTTTCTTGAAGAAAGCCAGCACATTAGTTCAACATGACTAGGTAACTTGTTCCATACTCCCACAACCTTCCATATAAAGGTCTTCTATAAGTACACTTTCACATAGTTTCCTCATACTGATAGGCTGATTGTCAGTCACTTTAGCTGGTTTTAAAAATATAGTTTATAATTGTGCGCAAGCCTTTTGAGAAAATGGAACCATGATACACTTGGAAGAATGTGCTCCTTGCTATTATAGGCACTTCCTGGTAAAGATCAGGATCCTACTTTTTATTCTTCCATCATAGTTAAATAATTCAAAATGCTGTTTAAATCAAGACTATTTAGCACACCCAGTTGCTGTGTGTGTCCAGGGTACAGTGCATAAGTAGCACCTTCTACTGTGACACAAATGTCTCCCGTGGTCTAACTGGAGGAAGCCTAACACGTTTCCACATCTTCATGGGCCTAGCCCTAAGGCTGAACATCAGTGATTGACTTCATCGTGGAAGAATGGTGCCACATCCCTCGTGAGAATGCAGTGGTGCATATAGGCCGTATTGGCTGCGCATGGTGGTCCCAAGTCCTATCATTGATCATTGTTTAACTTTGTCCACTACCTGTGTTGTCCAGGCTACATGGGTGTAGTCAAGTTTGTGTTTATAAAACATAAACCCTTTTTTCACATTGAGCTTCACTGCAATTTCTTTCACACGTAACATAAAAAGGATTAAATTCCTGAAAGCCCACGGGCCATCTCTCCTCTCCACTAGTCCCCTGCTACAAGCGATGCAAGCAGATGGAGTATTGCGACGAGCAAGAAGCCATCATTGAGGAGGACGATGGCGACGGGGGGTGGGTGGACACTTTCCACAACGCAGGTGAGAAGTCCAGCCGTGGGTTCTGGCTGTTCACTTGCAGACGGTGATGCCGTCCTTGGAGGTCTGATCACTGACTGCCACCTTGAGGGCTGGTGGACCACGTGGCCAGGCTGAAATGGTCCACTTGGTGTCGTGGCACCTTCATGTAATGAGCTGGAGGGGCTTGTCTGGTTCTGCCTTGCGATATAAAACAGTGCATCTAAATGAGCCCGTTCACATGTGCAGTGTAGTTTTTCAATTTGGTATCCTGATATAACCGAGTTTCTAAGCACTTGGTTTCGTTCCTGAATTTGGTTAATCATTCATCTATTGTTTTCCATAAATATTTCATGTTAACTGTTCATATCCATGAAGGTGGTTAAAAGTTTCATTATGCTTTTCTATAGATTCAGCATTTTGCTTTTTTCCCCACTCTTCTCCTATGTATGTGATAGTTGATAGATTAGTTGAAGTTGTTTACTTGCATTGTCCTTTCATTCTTTCATGGTTTCATCCCTATAATTCTTAAAATGAGTTTTTGTCAGACAAAAACACCCATAAATGTCCAAGTAAATTAAAGCAGAGTATTAATTCCACAAATACTACGCCTTTACTTTATAATTGAAAGTAACATTCATGTACTGCATTAAATAAAATATCTTAAATAATTTGGTCTTAGAGATCCAGCCGTTCAAAATGCACAATTAATAATGCCGCATAATGCGGTATACATACTACATTGCAATGCACTTTAAAATATTCTATTGCAGGACTGCACTGCTTTTTAAAACCGCCAGGTGGCACAGTGATAGCTTAATGTGGTGTGGAAGTATCTGGGCTGTCACCTGAAAACGCCTGATTTCGAATCCCTAGTCACAGCTGTTCGACCCTTTCTCGGTAAAACACACAGATCAAGCTGGGAATCATTTCTTTATTGTTATAAACAAAGGAGGACAGACTGAACAGGTTAACCTCATCTCACATTCACTATTCTAAGGATTGCAACAAGCTTTTATTCTTGAAGGTGAGTAAAAGTTCCATACCAAAACATACATTTATGATTGGTCATTAGTTTGTTACCATATAGGGTATAAACAAGGTCAAAGTTAGGCAGTTAGGTCAAATAATCAAGGCCCTTATTAGCTAAGACCCTGTTCCCTTTCATGTTTCAGAAGCAAGCATAGGATACATGAGCTACACCTCCACTGAAAAGGTCTTAATGAAACTGACACCTGAAGAAGGCTCCACGCCCGAAACGTTGTTCTCTTTCTTCTTCTTTTTTTCAGCATGGAATAAACCTATTACTTGTTCCTTTGCAGCCTACGCATGCTGACGCAGCTACCCACCTTAATGAAACGTAGGTCAGCAAGGGATGCATGAAACAGTTCTTGAGGGCTTAAGTGTTGTCTCCTAACAGGCATAGGTTCTTTCAGTCCTCAGCCTTGTAGAGACATGTAGATCTTTTTCCAATTCTAGAATTGTCTACTCTTTTTACTTTTAATTTTATACTGTGTATAACAGTATGTTAAATATTACATTTCTATTAAAAAAGAAAGTAAGGATGTTTTGCAAAACAAAATTAGTAAATAGCAGTAAAGGTTGAAAAGAGAACAAAAAAAGTTTTGGCAAATGTTTCGGCAAGGAATAAACCTTTACTTTGTTCCTTTGCAGCCTATGCATGCCGACACAGCTACTTGAACTATATAAAAAAATAGTTTTTCATTGTAGCTAGTTGTGAACACGATGTTCTATTTTCAGGTTTACATCCACATTAAAATCTATTTTGTATTTAGGAAATAATTGTATTAATTTTGATTCACAAAAATATTTCACATGAGCTGAAGTGGCTTAAAATGTGTATTATACTGTATTTGGATGCTGCACATTGGTGGTGGTGGAGGGGATCCCCATTACCTGTAAAGCGCTTTGAGTGGAGTGTCCAGAAAAGCGCTATATAAGTGTAAGCAATTATTATTATTATTTACTGTATATAGTGTATTTATACAGTATGCCACTCAAAGCACAGTAAATTGTGTGTTATTGTTTTGGTATATCTGTGGGTATGACTTCAAGTCGAATGTGATTCTAGTCTGTGGCACGTTGGGAACTGTTGTCCTTAAGTGTTCGATTCACATGGCCGACATTTTTAAAACTGCACACACTGTGAAACAGACCAAACCATCTCGCAATAAAAATGGAGTTAGACCATTTTTAATCGCAAAAACATCAATGTGCTGTAGGATATAGTGTCTTTGCTACCAGTAAAATGTATGCTGTGGAGAGCACATGAAACTTTAAAACTAATATAAAAAAAACTACAGTTTTTTTTTCATTTTTTGAACTGGTACCTGGAGTCAAAAAGGCTAGCTAAGTAGGTGCAAACTAGACTTGTAATCCAAACAATATGGCTGCATCTGTTTGAAAATGAATGTGTTGCCAAAAGCATATACAGTTATCACATCATTTACAGACATTTCCAGTGTATTTCTACAGTGTATACTGTATGTTGTACTGTTTATACTATATACAGGACCTACAGTATCATTGGACATTTACAGATATAAAACTTTCAACATTGAGAGACAGGCACACTGTTCCTCGGGCTGTGACAGGAGATCACACACTGTAGTATTATTGTTGTGAGATTATAGTAATTACATTCCTGAATGTTCCCCATTCCCCACAATCTTTGGGAGAACCCAAAAAAAGTCTGTTAATACAATTATTGCAACTTTGTTCAGTCAGCTCCTCCTCCCAGAACCTGTTAATTGCTATGATGAGTTCTTGCTTTGTGTTCTGTTTTTCTACCTTCAAAATATAGGTAGAAAAACCTATAACGAAGTAATGGTGATGATGTAATAAAACAGGCTTATTTATAATAAAACCACTAGCATCAACACAGCACATGCATGTTTTTTTTCCCCAGTGTGAAAGCGCTAAGACTGAACATGTGAGTAACTGTGTACAACCAATGACTTGCAATGTCATGCAATATTAGGTGATAGTGCAATCTTAATTATATTTGCCATTCTATTAACAGTTACAACATATACAAAATTTAAAACAAATCTAATTTTTTTTTAATAGAAGTTATTAGCCCTGCTGTATTTCATACCTGCACGTTGTTACGATACAGAAAAAGAAAAAAGTCAGCAATTTTTAAATATTATTTATTGTAATTATAATTACAATAATTTATCATGAGTAAAGAAAAACAAAAGTTCACTTATCTACGAGTCCCTTTCTGTCGATGCCCTTCCGTCACTGTTTCGTGTCCACCAAAACTGATAAACAAGAAGCAAAGTTCAATATCCCTCGATAAATGGTAAATTCAAATATATTGTATAAATCCTGTTTGTAAGTATAAAATGACTTTAAAACAGGCTGAATCCCTCTCTGCTCAAACTCCGTCCGTTACTCTCTCTGGTGAATTCAAACTCCCTTTTCTGTTGCATGCTCCTTTTTATCAATTTAAATCATTCTAGTAAATTCGGGTCAAGTAAGTCCAAGATGACACTAATTATTTACATAAAGCAATGTTATTCACAAGTGATGAATATTCTAGTAAATCAAAAATAATTTCAATGGTAACTATTCATAACAACGTGAGGTCACAGTGTGGTCACAAAGCGAGTGTCTCAAGATTAAGTGAGGACCGGGGGACAAAGTGAGATTACTCAACCAGATAACTTTTGTAAGTTTTCTTTGCATTTGTGTGAACAGTAAAATAAAACTTTCCCAAAACCACAAGAGTTGGTGTTTCACATTTAAAAATGGGAATATTGGCAATTACATTTATTTAAAACTGGCTTTAACTAGAACCTGTTATAATTCTTTGTAATTGTCAATTTATTTTAAACCAAAGATGTTCTAATCAGTTTCTCATTAAATTATTTTCAAATAACTAGGCAATTCAAAGAACATTTAAAGTTTCAATCCCACCTGTTGAGCCACACATTTGAAAAGACACTATCTACTAAGTTTAAAGTGTAAACCAACTTTGAAAATACTACCATGTCACACATACAGACTTCAATAATATTTATAGGTGTTAATTAGGCTAATTCTGAAGATTATTTTGATTATCTTCTGTATTGAATTTGAATTGGTAGGTTTTTACACTATAAATAACATGTATGGAGGCAGCTGCATTATACTCATAAATCATTTTTCAGACATCCTAACATTAGTCTGCCTTCTCATTTTTGTTCCACTGGTTTTTCCTAAAAACTTGATTTCTGTTGCAGATGTCTCCTAAAAATTTGTAAAAATCTAGCCTGTCAATATATGCTGTTTAATGGTGCATTGGGGAAAGGTGTTTCAATGGCCCTCTAATTTATAACAACATAATACTTGTATAAAAGTAATAATTTAAGCATCAAACCAACACAAATAAAATTAATAGATTTATTTGTGTAAAAGTTTTTTGGAAACTTGACTGCGGCTAGCAAAACTCCTTCAAAGCTTTTCTGATTGAAGCAGCCTGTATGCCTGAGTTCTCCTTATTTCCCTTTCCCCCAACATAAAGGGGATATAGTAACTAAACACAATCAAAGACAGACCAATTAAAATTAGCATTGGGAGTTCCTGTGGAGTAAATAGTCGTCAGGTGATATCTGACTACAGCAATGTTGTTGCCAGACACCGAGAATTTTCACAGATATTGTGAAAATATTTACCCTTTAATATAAAAAGAAAAAGTGAGTATGGTTGGTGTCCGGTTTAACTTTAATTAAAACTGACCAACCAATTGCATATCTCTAGTGCAGTGCAACCAAATTAATTTTGATTGCGTTTACCTAACACTTTTCATCTCAAAGATTCCACAGTGCTTTGCATGTTGGAGAGGACTTGTCATCCACAGCTGAAGCACATTCCTCATCTGTGAGGTACTCGGTATCCAGTACGCACCAGGTGTATCGAGGGTTTACTGCTAAGCAGGACAGACATGCACCTGGAATAACTGCAGAGCACATTGTGCGCAAGTGGTTGTGATCAGGGGAATTTAAATAGCTCAACTTGCATACAACCAAGTGAGTCTGTTTTCCACAATTTTATTTAATCTATAGCAGTTACTGACTAGGTGCTCTTCTTGCAAAGCAGAGGCTTTATCCCAATTGTTCTTGATGTAAATGTGGAATTTCCCTCCGTTTGTCTTCAACCTGTCTTTAGGAGTAACCGGGGTGACTGAGGCGGTTCGGGAAATCACGTTGGACAGTAAGGTATGTTTCCTCTCATGCCTTGTGGTTTCAACTTTGCATTCATACACACAAGCAAATGCACACCAATCGTAATTACTTTAATTCCTACCTTTTGTTGTGAAAAAGGCTGCTATGCTTTGTAATGTGGTCTCGTCTAGTTTTCTAAAAGCTTAGTGCTTAAAGCTAATTCTGGAATGATAGCCCATTCCAACTGTTTTCTTTTCCTTTTCTAAGGACAACATGAATCTCAATGTCCGCTCAGGGGTTGGTCCAGATGACGAGGAGGATGACGATGAGGGCGAGGCAGCTGACATGGAAGGTTTGTGACTGAAATGTTCTAGGGACGTGGTCTCGGCTTCCAGGATTGTTCATGTGCAGTGTCTTCTATCGGCTCATACCCAGCCGTGTACTATTACATATCAGTGTCCAGCAAACTCTAATGGGATGCCAGATAAGCCTAAATGAGCAAACTAATTAGGAACATAGTGAGGAAGTCTATATAATACCTCTGTGACAGTCTTACACACAAAAACATGGTAACATTTTGCCTCTGAAACTTTTTGCCCATGGGTGTTTTTACACTTTTGGTACGGGGTTAATCTTAAATTCAGTTGTTAATAACTCCCTCCTAAATTATGGGTCAAACCTCTCAAGAATAAAATTGAAGCATGTGGTCATCACCTTCATTGCTGAAGTTCTACTTTCTGATTGAAATTAATTTCTGCTATTCAAGATGAACCTGTCCATAGGATTGTACAAAATCAGAATATTAAAAGAGCTGAAGAAAGAACTTAATTTGGTTTTGTGGTCTTTTCTGAGTATAATTAAAGTAAGTCTTTGAAATTGTTTGACATTGCATTCACACACTTAATATGTAGGACAGTTATGTTTAATCATCTGGAGGTATTGATTCATGACTTAGGTGCTTTTTTTATTCCGTGTTAATATACGGTCAGACTAATCTGACTTTTTTTTCAAACTTTTTTTAGAATATGAAGAAAGTGGGCTTTTGGAAACGGATGAGGTATGAAAATCTATGACCTCTGTTTTTCTCTGTCGTCCTTATCAAGTTGGGAACCTCTAAAGATAAACCAGTTTGCTGCGGTAAGTGGTGTTGGTGGACCAGTAAGTGGTGGTGCTCTCCCTCCTGGGCCACAATTGTCAAACCAGTGTCCCTTTATCTTGACTTGGGACACTGTGCTGTAAGAGGTGCAGTGCTCATGTAGTGGATGAAACTGCGGTCCTGACACCTTGTTGATTAAAGCTTCCATGGTGCTGTTTGAAAGGACAGGACTTTTAACTCCAGGGGCCTCCCTGGAGGAGAAGTTTCTCACTCCTCAACCTGGGCCTCTGGTGCATCACAGCTGCTGTGTATGTCCAGGGTGGTGGGGGGGCACTGCTCTTCAGTGGAGGATAAAGTGAGATGTAATGCACTGAATAAGTGTAGTGAAACAGCAGAAGGAAGACATCAGTTGAAGGCGTCTGTTATATAAATGTAAGATATTTACCATGTACATCGATCTTTGTGGCTCTCTTTAAATAAAACCCAGTATGATTTGTTAAAAATTAAGGCTGTTTCCAGATTATATACTGTACTTTATGATAGTGGAGAGATTCCACTGTATAAAAAGTTAGTATGAACTTCTGTCTTACAAAACAACATTTGTCTGGTCAAAGTCCACTATACTACGGTCATTTTTATGCTTGACAACCTGCCTCTTGTAGCTTGAGTTACCTTGTACTTTTCCTCCATTAAATTACTGGATAGTCAGTTAGGTATTAAATCCTCAATAAGGAAGGAGTGTCCTGCTGGTTTGCCATCACTCAGGCATCCAACTCCTGGCATCATGCAGCCAACACCTTGTACTCACTAGGCAGATGGCTACCTATGAAAGAACCAGCTAAATTCAATGGGTTTTGTATAGCAGTCACTCAACTTGAGCCTTTCACAGTGGACAACATGGTGGTGCAGTGGTTACCATTGCTTCCTCACAGTGCTGGACCCTGGGTATAGCTCCTTGCCTGGGGCGCCGTCTGCATGGAGTTCGTATGTTCTCCCTCTGTTCATGTGAGTTTTTCCTAGAGTCCAAAGACATAGTTTTGCATGAGTGTGTGCATCTGTCTGTCTGCCCTGTGGTGGACCAGTGTACTGACTAGAGTGTAATCTGCCTTATGCCCATTGCTTACTGGGATAGGCTCCTGCTCGCCTGCACCCCTGAACTGGCTGAACTGGCTAGGAGATGGATGGATCGCAAGTAGCTCCATATGAAATCATGTTATAAAAAAGCATTGGTTTGACATGCAAGAGTAAAGCACTTGGGCTTCATAGAGATAAACTTAAAGCTAGCTTGACGGAATCATGTGGACAATATTCAGTTCAGTACTTTTAAACTTTACATTTCAAGAAGCTGTTTTATCTTTGATTTACATTCAGATTCTAATTTAATTGCATTTACTGACTTTCTCATGTAATGTGCTTTACACATAGGTGGGGGACCCCTTTCACCCACCACTGAGGTGCAGCCCTCCAGAGTGACAGAGCAGATAATCTGCACCTGCAGCCCTATTACTCAGCAGATCAGCTCAAGAGGGAGGTCAGCCAGTATACTGAGGATTTTGAAACGTTCCTTTATATTTTTAATGGCCAGGAAGCCAGGGTTCAGTTTTGTTCAACAGACAGTACCTCCTACAACACAGTCTCCTCTGTCACTGTACTGAGGCACTGGTTTGAATTATCTGGGCTGTGGAGAGTCTGCCATTCTACTGGTCCACCCACATCACATGCTGTTGCAACATGGGTGTTACTAATGGGATAGGAGATTTCTACTGACCGGGTACAGCCTTGCTTTTCCTTCTTGAGCTCTGACACAGGCTAGAAAATGGGCCATGCTCCTGTCATTTAGGGGGGAATGTTAAGTAAAACTACCTTTTTTGACACTGCGATAGAGGCACAGTTATAGTCCTTGAATGTGTGGGATATTCCTTCACAGGCGACTTTGGACACCAGTAAGGTAGCGGAAGCCAATAACCCTAAAGCAGATGCTGGTTCAGAAGATGTCATTCTGCAGACCCGAACCTACGACCTCTACATCACTTACGACAAATACTACCAAACTCCACGGCTCTGGCTGTTCGGATATGATGAGGTATCTGCACGCTTTTTTCAGGGGAGGCATTTGAATCAAGGGGAAAAGGGGGGGCCATTTCATTTACAGGAAATTTACAGAGAACCCACAACTTCCTGCCTACATTTTTTAGTTGCACAACCTGTTTTACAACAAAAACTGATTCCCCCTCCCCCCAAACATATTTCAAAAGTGATTTTCTGCTTTGACTAAGGTATTATTGAGAAAACGGAGCTCTGAATTTTTATTTTATCCTGCTTTAAAACTTGGTGATACAACAGCATGTTTAAAAGTATGTGAAAGTATACTATTAGCATTTAAAGAACTCAAATTATTTGCTCAGAAAAGCATATTCATGTGCTCCATGAAAGAATTATCCATAAAAAATCAATTAATGCTTTTTATCTGATTGAACCTGATCTCCATCACTTGTGCATTTCTAACACTTTATATATAGTAAATGGTTTGCAGCAATGGATGTGATTGGGGAAATGTTCTTGTTATTGTACATGTGACAGAAACTACAGAAAGCTGAGGAAAACCTGCTCTTGAATGGGAGAACCAAAATGCTATGGTAGATGCCACAAAGTAGAAGGAAACAGGCCACTGAGATGCCAAAAGTGAGAATATTAGGATATTCTCCTTAGTCCAGGATGTCGGCAGTCATTGAACCTCTATTAGTATACATCGTCTGACCAACTACAGCTCAGGTCACCATGTCTTGCCCTGCAAGATCAGTATTGAATAACTGGTATAGGCCATCAGGTTGTCTTCACACTCTGATGCATTCAACAGAAACTGGCCAAAAACGAGTTGGTGAAACTTGTCATGTCCAAAGACAAATTGCAGACCAGTCTGAGGTGACAGGTACCGTCCATGCTATCTTGCAGTATGGGATGGGTTCTGAGGTGGAGGTGTGATAGTGTGTGCTGTAGGACTGTATGGATGGTTGTTTTGATAGGTCCATTAGCAACAGGACCACGTTTTTGCCCTGTACATTGCACCTTACCTTTCCCAAAACTATGCCTCGCCTTAATGCGTGACAGTGCACAGCCATATGTCTCCTCTCTCACCCACCCAGAATCGGCAGCCTCTAACAGTGGAGCAGATGTACGAGGACATCAGCCAGGACCATGTGAAGAAGACTGTGACCACGGAATACCACCCTCACCTGCCTCCTCCTGCCATGTGCTCTGTCCACCCCTGCAGGTCAGCCATGCTTTCAGACTGACCAACTCATACAGCTTCAGAAATTACACAAAATGCCAAGGGTGAAGCAAAAAACCACGTAGCGGCCCACCCGCTGTGCCATCATGCAGACCTGAAGCATCTCCATCATGTTCTTACTTTCAGATTTTCATGTATCTGTTCTATATTATAATAGTACTGAAAACAAATTACATGACATCTCTGCTGGAACTTTATAGTGATGCTTTAGTTACACTAAGGAAGGATGTGAAACTGCTCATCCTGCTGTTGTCATTGCTTCTTTCTTGTAAGAAATGCTTCATTTTGGATGCCACTCTTTAGTCACATCCAAAATGTGAAGTGTCACCTCTCATTGTACGTGTACAAAAGTGTTTGTCTTGTTATTAGTGTTTTTCATAAGAGCCCAGAGTAAATTATATGTAAAGTTGTAAATTTTTGTTTTACAGACATGCAGAAGTGATGAAGAAAATAATTGAAACTGTTGCGGAAGGAGGCGGAGAACTTGGAGTTCATATGTATCCTTCAGAGAAATGGTCGATGTATTAACATGCTTAACGCAGAGCATGGATGTTGTGTGTTGGGTGGCAAGGTGGCGGTAGCATTCACCCAGTTGTGACCAAACACGATTAGCTAAGAAATTTATTCCCAGACTGGAGCTCGTGATGTGTAATTAGGTTTCGGAAGCAAAGTAAGGCTGGGACTGGTCCATGCTTGAATGGAAGGCCTCAAAGCACAGCCAGTTTGCAGATGTAAGTAGCAGTGAACCAGTAGGTGACACTCTTTCCTCTGTTGCAGAACGTCTAACGCAATTCCCAATATGTGCTGTAAGAGGTGCCTCTCTTCAGATGAGAAAATAAACAAGTCCTGGCTAATTGGTCGTTGAAGGTTGCAGAGCACTGTTCGTTAGGGTCGAGATGGCAACCCCCCAGTATCTTTCCTAAAGTACTCTCTGGGATTGTAGAGTCTGATGTCCCAATAGGTCCCTATTTATTCAGCTGGTGAACCTGTTTCTACCTGCTGGCACATACCTGCCACATTTTACCCAGGTGGGCACAGCACTGAGTAGTGGTAGAAGCAGATCTAATCTTCTACGTGAAGCACTCTGACATCTTTTGGGGTTAAAAGTGCTGTGTTAGTAGGGTACGTCCTGCATTCTGAAGGAGTATGCTTATCGGGTGGCACTGCACGAGTCCTCCTAATTCCATTAACTGTGATTGCCCACAGTGATATTCAGTTTACATTGGGTGAACTGTTAATGCAAAAAAGAAAGTTAAAAAGAAAATGTTGTATAAATGCAGTATATTGTATTTGCAAATGGAATGCAGTGTAACTGTCTCTTATGTGGTGTAATAGGTAATTGTAACCCTTTTCTATTCCTTAACTCAAGACCTCAGGTACCTTCTAATTTTCTTGAAATTTGTGCAAGCTGTCATTCCTACAATAGAATATGACTACACAAGGCATTTCACAATGTAAAGCTCAGTTAAGATAAAACTTCAAAACCTTTGGTTACAGAGCTTGGAGTTTGATGGGAACATTGCTGCCCATGGTATATGAACTTAATCCCTCTCCTCTGCAGTGACATTGGAAATGTCGGTTTTGGGATTTCAAGAAACTTTTTGCATGATGGATGGATAGTTTTCTGATGCCATGCTGTGGTTCATCACATAACCCTGTTATTCTCTCCTTTTCAGTCTGCTTTCAGAAAGAGCATTTCTGGTGATTCATTTCTTGGTGCTTTAAAGCATAATCTCTTGATATTAAAAATAACATTGCACACATCAAATTTATGAACTGTTCAGAGCCCTTGACATTTCTGGTATGTAAACAGCTACTACCTACTGTATACTACTCCCCTTTAAAAGTAAACATTTATCATTTGGATTATTTAGCCTTTTGACTATATATTATTCACAAATTTGCAATACAAGAGCTCAAAAAAGTGCAACAAAAAATATCACTCATTACTACCCAGCTAATAATGTACTCTAGGCACCTTGTATGTCTTAAGAACAGTCTTGGCACTGTGCTGTGATCACCTTTTCTAAGGATGACCGACCACTATGACAGAGCTGCACAGTCTGGTTCTATATAGCTGATGCTAACAGTTTTTCTGCCTGCTGGTCAGCTCTTGCAGCTGCGTGGGCTATAGAAGCATCACTACCACAGTGTGGTGTTTGTGCTCCTCCTGCTGTATGGATTCTTCCCTCAGCCTCAGTGGCTGTGACTGACAAATGAAATAATATCAGAGAGACTGTCACTCGCACAGCGGTGAGCGTGCAATGTTTCTGATGCTTGTATTATTCCAGGTGTTGGCAGCAAGTCTTAGAATTATCAGTGTCCTTCAGTCTTGGAGATATTCTGATTTCTGTTGCCCTAAATATTTGCATAATATGAGGAAATTTATCCACATTAATTCATTCTGTATGTTTTGGAACTGTTAAGGTCTTAAATATGAAGAATCGCTGGTGTGGATGGTGATTTTAATTCCCATCTACTGTATACGTTCATGCTTCTACCTGGCGTCATGAGCTCTAATGGAAAGAGTTCTTATCCCTAGTGCTAGCCTGGCATGTATTTTGTGAATATTATTTGTATACTATCATTTAATTCAAGAGGTCTGACTGTTCAGTAAAACAATCAATTTTGGGGATAAAATGAGAAGAGAAATAATTTGGAAGACTAAATAAAGCATTTTCTAACTGTGTCTTGTTATGTTAATGTGATCAAATGTTGCATCCCTGTGTGTACCATTGCCCATGTTTAGACCTAAATTGCTGTAGTATGTAAACTTAAGGCTTTTACCATGGGAGACCTTTCTGTGAAGGAATGCATGTGCCAGTACTTTAGATAATACAGTATATTTACATTTCAAGATGGAGAGGTTTTTGAAGAGAAGCATTTTCATATATCCCAAGCACTTGGAATGTCTAATGACATTCAACAGATTAAAAAAATTACAAAGCAGTATTTTTGTAGCAGTTGTATGGAATTATGGAACAAGTAAAGGTTTATTCCAAGCTCGAAAGAGAAGAAAGGAAATGCAATGTTTTGGCTATGGAGCCGCCTTCGGGTGCCATTGTGTATAGAATTATGCCGATTGTCTGTTCTCGGCAACAGGCACACTGTAGTGCTGTGCTGTCAGGATACCATCAATCACTATCATTGCGAGTTCTCTAGTAACTAGCTTCTCTTGCCCAGACCATCAACCTACCCAGCAACTGGTCTGTCATACATGGCTATTAGCAGGTTAATTGTGTACATCTGCTTCACACTTAATTAATGGGAAAAATAGAATAAGTTCAATATAAGGTGGTCAAAATGATTTAAACTGCCCAATGCAAAAAAAGGGCAAACTGAAAAGCCACCAGTGAGAATGTTTCACCATTCTTAAACTTTAAAATTTCTTCCAGCATTTTGATCTTCATTTGGAAATAGCAAGGAAATTGGAAGAACACAAAGTTTCCAAATGGGAGGAAACCAATCACCTCATCTAGCTCCATTGGTTGCTGATTGTCCAAAGTCTCTTTCTGGGTATTTCTCCCCTTTTCTGATGAAGTATCAGAGCAATCTGTGCTGGCTATTGGAATCCACAGTTGCTTCATCGCTTGAACCATCCTGGCGTCATTCATTATCCTGCAGTTTCTTTGTTCTGTTACAGTTACAGCTCTAACACTTCTTTCAGTTTAAATATTGATCAATAAACTGAATTCTGTATCCAAATCAAATGTGCAGTTATTTTATTGAAACCTGCTTGACCAAACTGGTATCCTTTGCAGTATTTTCTTAACTGAGCTTTTAATCACCATGAAATCCAACCAAGATGGTCTTAATGTCGGGGCATAATTAGAAGCCCAGTAAATAAGAGTGCTGGGAACAAGAGAGTTTTCTTTTTTTTTTAATTGTTGGATCTAGCCACTGGCTCTTCTTGAGTTGCGTCTCTGTGGACGTGTATCGGAGTGCTGCTTTTTTTTACCCTTAGATATAATTTATATAATTAATGGAAGAGATTGTTAGTGCTTTTCCAGAAAGTATAATACAGTGGCATTGCAATCAGTACATTTTATTTATAGTACACTATTCATAGGTCAATTTCAAAATGCAATACAATTGAATATATGCAACCCAACTAATAAACAGGATAAAATCAGGCTCCACAATGTACAGAACAATACAAGTACATGAACCCGATGTGAATCAATACAGCAGGATAAAAGTGGTTAGCACCACAGACTTTTTTACTCTTGATTTGCCAACAAACACCACAATAAGAAAAGGGAAAAAACTACGAGGGAAACTAAATTATAGAGATGCTCTGGGTAAATGTGCTACAGCTGTGGAGTCCATAATAGATTTGGGGAGAGCCCAACAGATGCAGTGCTTCACGCAGGAGGCTTGAACACCTGCTGTGTGGAGCCTGGTGTTTGACACATGGTTTGACAGATACAGGTAGTGCCCAGTAGTACCCAGTGACTGGAGAATTGCTAATGCCCTTACGTGAGAAAAGGGACATAAAAGACCCAAGTTGTCATAGAATAGAAAATAAGTGTTATTTCTATTTCATGTCAGGTTATGGGAGCAGTTACTACAACTGGAGAATCACTGAAATGGAAATGGGATCCCAGGGACTAGTCTATATAGATTTAGAAAAGGTAGATTTTGGTTATCCAACTTGTTGAAGTTCTTTTGAACAAGCAACAACAGTAATGGGCAGCGAATACAGTTTTGCATTTCAGAGGGGTTTTATCATAACGTTACATGTGGAGACTGGGAGTTGGTTAATATGTAAAAAGTAGTATAGACGAAGGGTAGATGCACAATTAGGGGCGGTTAGTGTAGTTGGGATACTGCAGGGAACTGTACCAGGACCACTGCTCCTCCTAATTCATATCCACCAACTAGATATTATTTTCAGTTAACTAATAAACTAGTCGGTTTTGCAGGTATAGACATTTGTACGATTTTCATACACTATTGAAGCTGTAAATTAAAAAAACAGAGCCTTCTTCAGGTGTGAAGAGAGGAAAACCCAGAGAGAGAGGAGGTTTTCTTCTCACCCCCACACCTGAAGAAGGCCCTGCAGCTGAAACAATCTCTTTTCTGGAAAATGCTGAGCTACTTAATGAAAACTTTTTAAGATGATTATGTTGACACGTCGACATCTTACAGACTGTAGGGCAGCAATCAAAACGTTTTAGAATATACACTCGGCGGCCATGTTATTATGTATGCTTGCTCGTCAACACAAATAGCCAAACAGTGAATCATGTGGCTGCAACTCAATATATAAAGCATGCAGACATGCTCAAGAGGTTTAGTTGTTGTTTGACCAAACATTAGAATGACGGAGATGTGTGACCTAAGCGACTTTGACCATGGTATGATTTTTGGTGCCAGACGTGATGGTTCCAGCATCTCAGAAACAGCTGACCTCCTGGGCTTTTCACACACTACAGTCTCTAGAGTTTACAGAGAATGGTGTGATAAAAAACATCCTGTGAGTGGCAGTTCAGTGGGCCAAAACACCTTGTTAATGAGAGCAGTCAGCTGATAGAAAGGCCACAAATACTAAACCACTGCACAGTGGTGTGCAGAAGGGCATCTCTGAGCACACGTGTCGAACCTTGAAGCGGATGGGCTACAGCAGCAGAAGGCCACACCGGGTTCCACTCCTGTCTGCTAAGAACAGGAAGATGAGGCTACAGTTGGCACGTGATGACCAAAACTGAACGATTGAAGATTAGAAAAACGTCGCCTGGTCTGATGAATCTCGATTTCTGCTACGACATGCAGATGGTAGGGTCAGAATTTGGTGTAAACAGCATAAATCCATGGATCCATCCTGCTTTGTGTCAATGGTACAGGCTGGTGGTGGTGTAATGGTGTGGGGAATGTTTTTTTGGCACACATTAGGCCCCTTAATACCAATTGAGCATCATTTGAGTACCACAGCGTACCTAAGCATTGTTGCTGGCCATGTGTATCCCTTTATGGCCACAGAATACCCATTTTCAAATGGATGCTTCCAGCAGGATAATTCGCCATGTCACAAAGCATGCATCATCTCAAGCTGGTTCCAAAAACATGACAGTGACTTCAGTTTACTCCAATAGCCTGCACAGTCCCCAGATCTCAATCCAACAGAGCACCTTTGGGGTGAGGTGGAATGGGAGATTCACAACATGAATGTGGGGCCGTAAAATCTGCAGGAACTGAGTCAGCATGGACCAAAATCCCTAAGGAATGTTTCTAGCACCTTGTTGAATCCATGACACCAAGAATTCAGGCTGTTCTGGAGGTAAAAGGGGGTCCTACCCGGAACTAGATTGAGTATATATTTTAAAGCCTTAGAAATTAAATCAAAGGGGGTCGTAATGTTAAACTTGTATAATGCACTAATAAGGCCTCATTTAGAATATTGTACATGATTGGGTCGCAACATTATAGAAAATATATTGCTGCTCTGAAATCCATCCAGTGAGGAGCAACCAGATACTGTACATTCCTGTACTTAAAGGAAAGTCCTACACTGACAGGCTAGAGGAATTAAGCTACTCTTTCTTGACCAGAGAAGACTACAAGGGGACCTGATACAAGCAGTCAAAATCCCCAAGAACGAGTCAACACAGCAGATTTCTTCAGACCGAGCAGTGAGTCGCAAACCTTTCCCCAAAGGATTGTGGGAATACAAAACAAGCTACCCAGCTTCCTTCCAGAAACAGCTGGATGAGATCCTTGTATCAATTAACTACTGACCACCACACACAGGAGCCAAATGGCTTCCTTCTGTCCATTCATTTTCTAACTGTTTCATCCAATCCAGGTACCTGGGGGGCCGGAGCCTATCACAGCCTGACCAGGATGTTAGTCCATCTCAGGGAAAACACAGAAACATTCACACACTCACACCAGGGCCAATTTTCCAGAAGCCAATTAACCTACCAGTATGTTCTGTATTGTGAGAGGAAGGCAGAGCACCTGCAGGAGACCCACACAAACATAGGGGGCACATACAAACTCCACACAGATAATGTCCCACCACAGGTCTGTAATTCAACACAGGGCCCAAAACTGCAAGGTAACAATGCTAACCACTGCAATGCTGTTTACGTCCTTGGTGATATCCATGAGCTTGTCATTAATCATTCAGTTATCATAAAGGTCATGCTGTATCTCATAGATTTTGTAGTACTGACTAGTTGTGTGTACAGTACCTACGTTCGTTTAGGGGCTAAGATAAGGACATCATTGAAATCATTTGATATCTGAGATCCACTTGTTTGGAGACCATGATGTTCTAGAACACATAACTCCTGAAAGGAGTTGAAATTGTAACCTTAATAAAATGAATGCTGAAGAAGATAACTCTTTTTAAAAAAACTATTTGTGGCCTGTCCTCATTAGAAAATCACTGTCCTTTTATTTTAAAAAAGTTCGTAGTGTTGTTCCTCAAAAGTTTCGAAAGCTAGACAGGTAAAGGCAGATAAAGACAGGAAATTGCGAAGACTTGATCACACTTGCGTTAAATTGAGTCATGTGAATATTAAACCGTTTAATGACTAATTTCGCACAGGTAGTAGGGATACTATTTTATTTTCTTCCTGTTCAGGGGGGTCAACAACTGTGTCCTAGTTTCTGGGAACACAGTGCGTGTTTGAACTGTGTGTTTGCGGTATGTTGAATGCTGATACGTAACGGCCCCGTAGGTGGGTGTCAATGCAAGCGGGGCAAACTCGCCTCGTTACGCATAGCCGACTCTCCTGGTGTCCCAGGAGGATGTGTCCTGGTGCTTCAGGAATGAGAACAGACAGAAACTGGTTCTGGTCAGGGGCTCTGCTCCTGGTACTCGTGTCCCAGTGCTCTCTGGCAGTGGAAAGACGTTATTACATTGCAGCGGTTCTAACGGAATGGGATTACTATGGAGATCAAAGGTAAAGGCAATCCGTTTTCTCTTTCTCTTCCTCCCCTGGTATCTCTGACGCGCGTACCAGAGAGAGCTGGGAAAGTATCCAGAATACGAAAGAAAACTCCGGCACGAAGCAAAGACTTTATTCTACACAGTACAGAATTTGGAAATTGAATGTTTTAACTGTTGGCATGTGTTTATTGTTCTAGTAGTAAGCTGCACTTTCTGATTTTTATTGATCAAAACAGTAAGCACTGCGTCTATCCTCGGTTCACCTGCGCAACAAAACTTGCAACATTTATATTTTGTGGTTATGGATTGGTGTTGTAGAGTAGTTACAGAATTTAACATATGTTGAATGTATTGGCATTTTAAATTTTTCTGATAAACGATGATTGTGATAGAAACAGACTGACATGTTGAAACCAAATATGTTGAAATCCTATTTCATATAATATGCAAGTGTTTTAATTTTTCTAAAAAAACAGCATTTTTTTCCCCATTCAGGAGTATCCGTGCTTCATAATATCTCTATGTGGGTCCAAAATGACACATCTGTATTCTACCCTTGACTCCACACCTGGGTTTTACAGTCCTGGTCTTTGAGGGCCAGTGTGTCTCTGGGTTTTTTATTCAAACTCAGCTCTTAAGGAGCTAAATCAGCTGGTTCCTGGGTTGAACTGGACCAGTGCATCAGTTTCTCTCAGCTCTTAAGATGCTGCTGCCTTAGGCAGATCTTGAAAGCCTGCAGAGACCGGCCGTCCAAGACAAGGACTGGACAGCCCTGCTCTAAACACTACTTTCTTTTCCTTCTGTTCTTTTAGGGGAGGCCAGACTTACAAGAAGGTGGTTTTCAGGGAATATGATGCTGAATTCAAGCAAGCCAAGCCCCATCCATCTTGGTCAGGTGAGTGCCAGAGGAGACGCAGCCATGCTGCTGGAAGAAACATCTCACCCTGTCCTGGCTATCCACCAATAAATCAATCGATCCATCAATTGATCCATCAATCAATCAGTAATTTTATTTGCTATAATGCACATTGCAACAGTTTACAACAGAGCACTTTACAGATTTGTACAGTGTATTGCGGTTGACCACGTGGGTCAGGGTGCTGACCAGTGAAGTGAAAGTGTTGAAGAATGAATACATTCACTGACAGCTGTTAATGTCTCTTAGTGATGGGAGCTCCATGAGGACGTTCTCAAATCTGCTGCCTGCCATTGCCAGAGCAGAGAATGACTGGCCACATATTCAGTGTAATACGGACACAGAAACAAAAACCAAAAGCCATCTCTGTCATACTGTTGATACTGTTGTTACATAGATAAGCAAAGCATCCCAGCTCATGAAAGCTGTCTCGTCCTTCCGGAAATAGCGGGATAAGATCCTTGGATCAATAAGTTATTGGGAACCCAGAGGATCAGATGGACAGAAGGGCCTCTTAGCACTAGAATAATCATCCTCATTTTTCAGGGCTGCTGGGTCCCACTCTGCGTGGAGAGGTGGGGGATGTCATTGTGGTCACCTTCAGGAACATGGCTGACCGGACCTACAGCCTCCACCCACATGGCATAGAGTACGGGAAACAGTCCGAGGGTACGTGCCTGTGTCTCAGTCTCATTGCAGGTGGGGTGGTGCTGTTGTGATCTTGAAATGCACCGTATCAGCACAACAGCGAAAAGGGCATTGAATGGGGATTTTGCACTACTTCAATGTTGTGAAGAAAACCAACTGCAAGGTGGGAGATTATTATTACTGTATGTACAGTATGTATGCCTTTGTTTCTTTGCAAATCGGAAGCTCTTATCCAAGATGATCTGAAATACATCTGTGAAATCAACTTGGCCTCGTACAGCAAATTATATTTATAGCAATGATCATGGTCAAACGACAAACTGAAAGTGAAGAATAAAGCCAGCACAAGCAGACCAAGCATTGCAAACGCTGTGCCAAGCAAAATGAAGCAGAATTAACAACTACAGTCAGCATTGTCCGTTTTTAAAATAAAAAGTTATGATCTTGCAACTGTATGGAAGGAAGAGATGTGAGACCCATTCCCTCCACAATTTATATATTGTTTCTCTTGCTTTTGGACATTACTCATTCCAGTAGGTAAACAAATTGAGAAAAAAGCAAACAGTTGTGTTTGTCTTCTGTAGATAATTTTTAACCAAGACAGATAACTAAAGAGTTTCTCATCAAGTGCAGTCTGGGGAACAGATGCACTATCAGTGGTACAGTAGCTTTGTAAGTTCATTACCTTTCAAGCTCTGGAATTGTTCATATTTAGAAACCGGTTGGAAATTAAGTACAATTTCTGCAGGTAAAAGCTTAGAGCAGCTACAGTAAATTACTGTACTAGCTTGTGGACTAACCAGCTATCTTATTATTGTGACTAAACTACTCTTCTGTATCTGTCTGTGACCCGATGATTCAGCTGTGAGGAAACCCTGCGTGTGTCCTACGTAGGTTACTGACGCAGCTCTCAAGAGTCCTAAACCATAATGCATGAGATTTTCCATTTAAAATTGCGATAGCATTCTATTTGAATCGATGGTTACTTTTTTCATGTTTAAAAACACAAGCTAATTAACACTGGAAAATTAACTGAATCATGAGTCTCTAAATAACAATTATAAAATTATACTTTTGTTAACTTAATCTTTTTAGTCAACCTAGACCCAGTGCAAATGCATGTGATTTTCAAGATTTTGGTCTTTATACAGTACATGAGACTTGAGAACTTTGTGATTATGTGCCATTTGCTTCTAGCTGGCAAATGATCTTGCAGTGTATTACTACAAGATAGTATTTCAATATGGACTCTCGTGTACATTTTGTCAGTCCGCCTGGCCTGTGTACTCCTGCAGGAAACCATGTATGCTTGGTAGAGCATGTAATACATCATTATCAGTTTATTGTTGTAAATTTATTTTAATTCTATTGAATTTTAATTGTATGTACAAGGGACTTTGGTACTTTTCTTTATCAGTTGTACATACTGTACACATTTCTCACAGACATCTCAGAGAGCACCTGTACCAGCCTTGACTTACAAATGAAACCCTGTAAAGTTCACACCAGTCACTGATGATCCACATCAAACCTTCTGTCAACTCAAAATGATTTTTTGGCACCTAAATTTGGAAAGCTGGTTTGGTCTCTCCCCTCAGTATGCTGAAAATCAGTAACATATCATTCAAAGCCATGGTTGGAAGAAAGCTGCTAGTAAAATGTGCTTAGTTTACATTGAATCTGGATCTGAGGTTACTGAAAATCTAATCAGATAAAGGCGTCCAGTTAGAGCATGGACTGGGAACTATAATCAACACTGGTTTTAATGGGATTCCCCAACTGGCACACAGTTGTCCAATTTCTGCTAAATTTGGTTGAGTCTGATGTCAGCTCACGGTGTGCTCAGCTTGCACCTGAGATCATAAAAAAAGAAGAAAGTTTTCAAATAGAAGGGTGTCATGCCGATCATTTAGGCTCATTTAGTGGCTAGAATCTATCTGATCCAAGGATCTCAATCCAGCTTATCATTTTCAGAAACACGGCTGGGTAGGGTTAGGATAAGGGTTGAGGTCAAGGTTTGTTCCACACTCCCACAGCCCTTTGTGTAAAGAAGTGCCTCTTGTCCTCACTGGTGACCCTGGTTCACAAAAGAACATCAGAAAGGTTGAAAACAAGAGGACATATAGACCATCCAGTTCATTTAGTTTTTACTAGCTTTTTGTCAAAGGATCCAGCTGTATGCAAAGTATATTTTTGAATACTTTTATCAGACTCCCCCACAAACCTCTCTATTCATGACTACAGTATAAAGATTGAATTACATTAACCTGTCAAAGTGGGACTTTACATTAACCTGGGATGAGATCACTTTATTGGCCACATACAATTTATTGTATTAGGAATTAGTCTTTTCTCATACCCCAACTTGCTCTCCATGAGACAAACAGGCAGGGAGAGAAGTTTGGGGTCAGAGCGCAGGGTCAGCCATTTATACAGCACCCCTGGAGCAGTTGGGGTTTAGGTCTTTTGCTCAGGGCCCCATTGGAGTAGGATTCCTCTGCCAGCTGCAGGATTTGAACCAGCAACCTTCCAGCCACAGGCACAGATCCTTAGCCATAGTGCCCGAATGTGTCTGGTTGCTCTTCTCTGGCCTTCCAGATCAGCAGTCATTTTTTTCTTACATACAGTGGTTGTTGACATGATATACAGTATTCTAAATGAGATCTGTCTGGAGCAAATTAAACATAGCATCCCTTAATTTCAATTCCACACTTTTAACTATGCATCCTTACATTCTGTGCCTGTCTTATTGCATACCCACATTGCACAGAAGATATAAATGTTGAGTCAACATAAGCACCTACTGTACGTTTCTTGCTGTTCTAGAAACTTTTCGGGTTCTCTATTTCCCATCTTATATTTCTAGTTGATATTTCTGCTCCTTGCATGTACCGCTCTGCACTTGTCCACAAGAAGAGCTACACCTTTGGCCCCTTGTGACTTATCTGTTCTTGTCAGAGAAAGTGAATGTCCACAGTGCACCTGTGTGCTGCCTCACGCTCTCCTGTACTTGTCCAAGAGACATGAGGTGCGTTGCTGAAGAGACTGGGGGCGATTGGCAAGGGCTGCTGGCTCAGAAATAAAAAAAATAATAATATAGTATCAGGCCTTGACCTTTAATTACGTTTTGGGGGTAGTTCTAACTAAGAGTGGATGTTCCTTGTGGCTTAAACGTGCTGTGAAATTTCAACTCCTTAGGATCTCTCTACTTTGACAACACCTCCCTGTTTGAGAAGAAGGATGACGTAGTGAATCCGGGTGGGGAGCACAAGTACATCTGGGAGGTCACCAAGGAGATTGCGCCCACAATGGATGACCCGCCGTGTCTCACTTACACCTACTTCTCCCATGTCAACCTGGTCAAGGACTTCAACTCCGGGCTGATTGGGGCCCTGCTCATTTGTAAAGAAGGTAACGTGACAGCTCTGTCTCTAATAGGCAAATCCCACTGCCTGACCTGCGTTCACATTATTGTGGTGATAATTGAACCTTTGGAGCTCTGTGTCTTGAGCGCCCCAGTGAACCAAGATGTACAGGTTTAGGCTGTCACAACCCCTGATAAATGAGTCATGCACCCAAATAATAATAAAAGAAATATTTGGGTAGCTGCGTCAGCATGCTTAGTCTGCAAAGGAACAAGTAATAGGTTGCTGAATTCCACACCTGAAGAAGGCTTCATAGCCAGAACTTTGTGTTTTCTCTCTTCTCTTTTCAGCAAAGAATAAACCTAATACTTGTTCCTTTGCATGGAAGAAATATGACAGGCTTGTGTATAAGCAAATCTAAAAGAAGAGGAGAGGGAAGTTAGCATTGTGCACAGACTATGAGAATCCTAGTAAAAGGCCGTATGAAGCAAGGAAAACCCAAATGAGCAGGGACCATTTAAGCTTCTAATGTATCTGAAAACATGACTGCAGCAGGATTCAAAGCTTTTGGAGTTTTGTAAGATACCTCATTTACATTGCCAGCTTCCCTGCAGAAACAGATGCCACTTCAGGTGTGGTAGCTCTATAGGCTGGCTCATGTTGCTTCTGAGGGAGTTTCAGAAGAAGGAATGTCCCAGTAAGCAATGCTCGTTAATAATAATGATTACTTGGGATTATCAGGAGGCCATGATAAAGACCAGGGGAAAATTTGACCTGCATGCTGGGATAACACCCCTTTTAAGGGACAGAGATCCTGAAGGATGTTTTGAAGACTGATTCCCCATTAAACAGAATCTCCTTCTGTTCTTCACAATACTCCAGGGAGCCTCAGTGACACTGGCAAGCAGATCTCTTTTGACCAGGAACATGTGCTCCTTTTTGGTGTATTTGATGAAAGTAAGAGCTGGTACAGGACAGAGGAGGCAGAGCCTGCTGGTCCAATCAAGTACTCCATCAATGGCTATATCAATGGATCACTGCCAGGTAAGGACACCACCACAAACAGCCCTGATCTCTGATTTCATACGGCAAGCCGTGTCTTAGTAAAGACTTCCTAATGCAAGTAATTTCCAATTACATTTCTCAGATATACAGTAGTATTGCAGTATTTTAGGATTCTTTATTGGGGGTTTTATTGGTTTTAAAAGCTCATGTATTAGCAGATTATCACCAGGAGTCTTGTGGTCCACTCTTGGTCACATGTTGCCAGGGCTGGGTATTGAGTATACTCACAGCACAGTCCCCTGGTCTTGCCTGGCGTCTGTCAGCTAGCAGTTCAATCAGCCAGACTTGCCTCGTTCTTGCAGTTTGTTTTAGGTCTCCTGCACAGCATAAGTATGGAAAAATAGCTTCTGACAGACATTGGACATTAAATTCAAACAGCTTCACTGGTATCACTGGTATCGCTAATCCATTGCACTATTACCAATGCAAGTGAGCAATCCTCGTCTTCCTCCTGCTGGTGCCCAGCTGGGCTGACTGACAGTTGGCACTTCCAAACTGCTGCTTCCCCTGGATGGCTATTAAAAGACAGCAAACAAAAGCAAGTTAAAGATATGTGTTCCTGCAGAAATGTGTTTTGTCCCCGGGGCTCTGTGAGATGTGCTGGCAAGTGAAGAGGCAGTAGATGTGATCCATCTTAGATCACTGTGAAAGCAAAGGATAATTAGTAATAATCCTATTAGTACATGCATTTGTCCAGAACAGTGGTTCTCAAACTGTGGTACGAACCTGCAGTGGTACGCAGATGCCGCCAGGTGGTACACCACATGACCCTGGAACTGTGTTGTGTGCGCTGAAAAATCGGGACGGGTTTTCATATTTTCTATTTTAAGACGTATCGAATATGCAGCCTACGTACTACGATACAGCGCACGCTAATACTTGAGTGGACAGAGCTACAATGTAATTCTATACCATTCTATAGGAATGCACGCTATGAACATAAGTGAACAATTGTATTTAAAAAAACATATCTCCAGCAAATAGGGAGGTAAGAGAATGGCAGTGAGTGAAAAACAAGCACAATGTTGTAAATACAGGAATGCACAGGAAAGCGTGATAGATAACAGAAAAATATTAAAGAACTGTTCTAGGTTAATTTGAGAAAAATACACCGAGCATCTCTTGTGTTTCGCTCCCATGCGTATGAAATAAAAACTTTTTAACTTCTGAGACAGACTCCTGAAACGGAAATGCGGAAAAATGCAAGCTTGCGGATTGCTAAAGCAGGTAAGCCCCACACTATTTTTGAAGAACCTTATTTACCATTGGCAAAAGAGCTGACGTATTATGTGTGGAGAAAAAGCTGCTAAACAGCTCGACCTGCTGCCCCCTCTGAAAGACACAGTCACTCATAGAATTATTGCAATGGCGGATGATATAAAAAGTACGCTAATAGAGCGCGTTAAGATGAGCAGATGTTTTTCACTGCAATTAGATGAGTCTGTAGTCGATTTGGCCAATTTGCTCGATACGTTAGATACGAGTTTGAGGGCATGTCCCATGAGGACTTTCTGTTCTGTAAGCCTCTACCAACAGGAACTACAGGAGAGCACATATTTCAGCTTCTGGATGAATTTATCGAAGAGAATGGCCTCGACTGGATAAAATGCGTCGGAGTTTGTACAGACGGTGCTAGAGCGATGACAAGCCGACACAGTGGTGTAGTTGCACGAATTAGAGAGGTTGCTCCAGAAATTAATGGGCGCATTGCAACATCTACCGTGAGACCTTTGCCGTCAAGAAAATGCCTGAAGATTTAAAATCTGTTAGACTCTGTTGTGAATTGTATCAAGGCTCAAAAAATGAATTCACATTTGCTTTGCTTAACTAAACAGGCAAACCCCTCTCACTGAAATGGTGCTTTTTTATTGTTTATTTTTATTTGTTGTTGTTCCTGCTTTTTTTCTGTAAAGGGCTTTGAGAAGCCACTTATAGGCGCTATATCAAATAAAGTAATAATATGTATTATACTGTATGTGTGTGTGAGTGTGTGCGCACACGCACGCTCATGTTGGTCATATTGACTACATGTTGACTTGTAGGTGGTACTTGGATGCTTTGATTTGATCAGGGGTGGTACAGTACTTGGTCCAAAAAGTTTGAGAACCACTGGTCCAGAACAACTTGCAGATACTCAGGGGTGAATGACCCATTAAACAGCTGCTGGTGAGATAACAGCATAGGCCAGGCAAAAGGAGGTTAAGTATGTTGCTTAGGGTAACTTGCAATGAAACAGTGCTCAATGACCAATCCTCCTGAATGATCCTTTCAACCTGAGCCCCAGGTGATACAGAATGTACTACAACAAACTGTTTCCACCAATGTTGTGATTCCACATTTAATACGTTTTCTGTTTTCTCTGACCCACTCTCTGACCTACTCTGATTGTTCTCTTGCTTCTCCCAGATTTGAAGATCTGTGCCTACGACCATGTGAGCTGGCACCTGGTGGGGATGAGCTCCGAGCCGGAGCTCTTCTCCATCCATTTCAATGGGCAGGTCCTGCAGCAGAAGGGGCACAAGCTCTCCACCATCGATCTCGTCGCCTCCTCCTGCACCTCAGCCAACATGACCGCCATGCACGCGGGGGTCTGGCTGCTGTCCTCGAAAATCTTTAAGCACCTAGAGGGTAAGGCGCTCAGCTGGGCCCTGACACATGTTTTAGATGTCATGGTTCCATATCTTCGCTGCCAGAGGATGCCTCACTCACTGGTTGCTGGCCTACCTACGCAGCAGAGGCCCAGCCCACGCAGGCAGCTGCATTAAGCATCAGCCAATCACTGACCAGTGTACCAAGGACTCCACGCCTCCCTTCCCTGCCTCTTTATTTTCTGTGCCCTCATTCACTGCAGTGCTCAGTCACATTCCTTCTGGTGTGGGTTCTAATCTATACTTAACCTGTTTTTCCTGATTCGTCTACCCTGTTTCTTCCCTTGTTCCTTTCTCTTGTCCTGTTTCTTGTTCTCCTTTCTTGCATTGTTTTCTCCCTTTCTCCATTCTGTTTCCCTGCTTTTTGTGTTCTTTTCCCTTGGATTGACTTCCTGGATTCTGAATTTGACCTGCTCTTGTACTTTACCTCTGGTCTTCATCTTCTGGTTACTACTTTTTGCTTCTGGTCTGTTGGTTGCTACACGCTATCCATTTCCTTGGTTGTCTGGCTGTTTAGGCAGCCCTGTACATCATTTAACTGTCAAGACAGACATAAAAGTGGAGAATGGACACCCCCAAAGGACACCTTGATGACCTCTTGAGATCTATTAAACGCTAAGAACAGAATGAACAGGAAACCTCATGTTTGCCACCTTTGTTAAGAAATAATTGGGACCCAATCTGTATTACATGTACTGTATAACTGTAACTGAAAGTGCATTTAAAACTAAGAACTGAATGCCGTTCTTTACCCAAAGAGTAGAAACCAAAAGTCCCTATATTCTTTTTTGTTGTTGTTTTCTTGTTCCTTGGTAAAGGTTTACTGATATTACAGTTGCAGTAATGTTCGGGGTTCACTTTTGCATTTTTTATTTCTGGTTGCCTGTAGCTGGGATGCACGGATACCTGGAGGTGCAATCCTGTGAGAGCAAGGCTCCTATAACACGAAGACTCACAGTCCAGCAGAAACGCCAGAGTAGTGAATGGGTTTACTACATTGCTGCGGAAGAAATAATCTGGGACTATGCACCAAATTTGCCTGGATATGTTGATAGGTAAGAACCAGTCCACAGTAGCTGAAGACAGTACTGCAGCCCCATGCACACGTCTGCTATGATGTCTACATTGTCAGGCTGCCCACTGTGCTTCTAGAATGCAAACAGCAGGGTGTGTGCGTGAGGTGGAGTACAGAAATGGTGTTCCAACACCATGTCCACTTCAAAATAAGCTTGAGAGGTTAGTGCCTGAGCACATGTATCTCAAATTGATGAAGCAGAGCAGTGGGAAAGTCATGCAGAGAGATCCCTTACCCAATATATACAGTACATACTTAACCAAACATAATCATGCTTTTGAGTTTATACATACTGTATACACTCATTGTTTCACGTGTCTGGTAATTTCTCTATGTCATTTCCTTTAAAGTTCGTGTGCTTTAAAGTTTGTGCTTTAAAGTTTTGTGTGATGTATAAACTGTACATTGTACAAGGGGCATGTTACATAATGCAGATTATATTGAAATTCTTATATACTAACCACATTGCGCATTGACATTCATCTTACTGCAGCCATCAAAAAATTACTTAAAGGGCTTCTACTGGGGAAGTTAGTCCAAAAGTTAGATAAATGCAATTTAGCGCAGTAGTAGCAGAGAGAGATAATTAACAAGTCTATGCTCTAACAGAGAAGTACACTGCTTTTCAGGCTTTAAGCAGTGTAAGACTGTCAAAAGCAGATTTTTTTTGGTACCTTTCTCAACCTTTGGTACCTTTCAGGGAGTACAAGTCAAAATATTTGGAACCAAGGGCTGATCGGATTGGCAGGAAGTACAAGAAGGCAGTCTATGTCCAGTATAAGGATGCTAATTTCACGAAAATGGAAGAAGGAGCAAGGAAGAATGAAACTGGAATCCTCGGGCCGGCAGTGAGGGCCCAGATCTGGGATGTAATAAAGGTGATGTGATTTAAGTGTTTTCCCATACTGTATGTCCTGAGCTACACATGATGGTTTCAGAAGACTAAGTCAGTATTTATAATGATAAAGTGCAGCCAAGAAATCAAACAGATGAACATTCACCGACTGTGGAAAAAGCTTCTCAAAAGGTTTGTGATCTTATCTCTTCTAATCCTGTGGTGGAGGCTGCCAGGCTACACTGCTTAATATTTAAAACAGCACTGAGTAGAGACTAAAAGATGAAAGGTCAAGGAAGACTGGGAGAAGTGGGAGAAGGTCGAGTGATCCATTGTCTGTGTTGACAGATTGTGTTCAAGAACAATGCAAGCCGACCATACAGTATTTATCCCCATGGGCTCACCATCAGCAAGTCAGAGGAAGGAGCCAGCTATCCTAAAGACGGCTCAGGTTCGTGCCATTTCATGTTCACCACAAACCTTTGGCTCTGGTTCCAAATCAAGGTGAAACACTCAAACTAAACCTAGGAGGTCCACTTATCTGTCCCTTATTTGGGCCAATTGAATTCTTTTCCACAAGTCTTAAGTTATTGATGATTTAAAGAATCAACTGAGAATTCCTTATAGCCCTCAGGACTAGGAATAGCAGCACTAAAGACATTTTCACAAGGTTCCCTGCAGGGATAGGAATAACTCTGTACTGTAGGTGTCTAAAAGCTGGTCCCTGAAAGGTATGAAAAGAAGGGCATTAAGATAAGATCACTTTATTAGCCATATACAATTTCTTGCATTAGGAATATGTCTTTTTGCACATCCCAGCTTGCTCTCCATGAGACACACAGACAAGGAGAGAAGTTTGGGGTCAGAGCACAGGGTCAGTCATTTATACAGCACCCCTGAAGCAGCTGAGGGTAAGGGCCTTGCTCAGGGGTCCAACAGAGTAGGATTCCTCTGCTGGCCACAGGATTTGAACCAGCAACCTTCCAGGCACAAGCACAGAGCCACCACTCTGCCCCATGAGTATTTCTGTACTGCAGACACAGAGCGGCTGTTGCTCTTAAGTAGCAGATGAAGTGGCCCCTCTCCTACATCTAAAGTGCTTTGAGATCCTTTTTGATGAAATGTGCTACTTACATTTCGGGAATGAAGAATTGCTGTCATTGCTAATGGCTTGTCCGGCACTGTGCAGACAATGGCCAGCATGAGGTGAAGCCAGGAGAGACGCACACTTACACATGGAAGGTGACAGAGGAAGATGTGCCGGCACAGAATGACCCACGGTGTCTGACCAGGATGTACCACAGCGCCGTGGACGTGGCCAAAGATATAGCCTCAGGCCTTATCGGGCCACTGCTCATCTGCAAGAGCCAGTCCCTCAACAAAAGAAACATGCAGGTAATCTGAGTCAGTTTACTCCCAGTCTGACCAGCCCTGACACTTCAAACACACTTGCAGCAGTTTTTAGAATCTCTATATATACAGTAGATTTCTGTATAGAAATATTTCTCCTGTTGTATTATGTTTAAACAAGATGATTCTTTTTTTAAATCCACTCGTCCATCTATTTTGTAACCACTTCATATAATATAGGGGTGCGGAGGAGCCAGACCCTATCAAGGCAAGCAGTGGGTTCTTCAAGGCGGGATACACTCTGGATAGGATGCCAGTCCATCTCAGGGTACACACAGCCACAAAAACACACACTCACATCAGGGCCAGTTTTCCCAAAAGCCCATTAACCTCCCAGTATGTCTTTGGACTGTGGGAGGAAGCCAGAGCACCTGGTGGAAACCCACATGAACACAGGGAGAACATGCAAACTCCGCCCCAGGAACTGAACCCAGGGCCCAGGTGGCTCACCAGTGCACCACCACAGAAGGTGGGAGGAGTAGAAGGTATATAGAGAAATCCCATGTGAACATGGGGAGAGCATGCAAACGCCACACAGAAGGTGCCCCCATTCAGACATTAGCAGCGTCAACCACCACGCCAGTATCATGACATCGGTTCAGCTGAGGTTTTGAGGGAACACTCACCTGTCTTTAACAGCTGAAGGCCGATAAGGAGCAGCATGCAGTTCTGGCAGTTCTTGACGAGAACAAAAGTTGGTACATTGAGGAAAACATTAGAAACTACTGCACAGATCCCTCAAAGGTCAACAAAGAAGACCCCAAATTTTATGAATCCAACATTATGCGTTGTAAGTATTTGGGCTTTTTTTTGGTCTTTTTTGTTCTTTGATGTTTCTTTCCTGAAACATATTTCACAGAAGTGGATGGGGCCTTGAAAAAAGGGAGATGAAGTTTTTGTGCCGATAACTGTTTTATAAATATGCGCACAGTTGAGTCCTGTTCTTGTTACTCCACAGTAAGGAGGAGGGTAAATCATGTTGTCATGGAAGAAAATGTATTTTTAGCTTGCTTAGACGGGACAGTTACGTGAAAAAATGCAGTTTTTGCTCTTCCAGGAGGCTTTGTGACCTTATGTATTACAATGCCAATTTAGCCATGACTGATGTTTCACTAGGTTCCTCAGTCTGAATGTAGTGAGAGACTCTGTCCCATTCCTCTCCCAGAGCCTGGACAATCAAGTGCCTGTGCACTGGTGTCTGAGCCCTGGGTGTCACATGTTATTCCCACTCAGCCCACAGATGTACATAGGGGCTGACGTTTGGTGAGTTGGCCGTCCCAGGCACGATAACTCTTACAGTCTCATCTCTCAAGATAGCTGCTCTTACATGAGCAGCATGAGGATGTGTGTTGTCCTGCTGGAATGTTGTCACATCAGGATGGGCCCACAGGAAGGGCAGCAAGTTAGGCCCCAGGTCTTGATGAATGGAGTATCATTCTATATATTTTTCAGAAAACAGACATAGAATAATATGATTATTTTGATGCTCACTATACTATACATATACCTATCACAGGTTGTCTGTAGTCACATTTTCTTCTAGCTCTTTCCTTCATGTTTCAATTTCCACAGCAATAAATGGCTTTGTGTACGACAGTGGACAAGTCCTTGGATTTTGCCACGGAGAGATCGTTACTTGGCACGTGTCAAGTGTCGGGGCACAGGACTACATAGAGACTCTCCACTCCTATGGTCACACGTTTGATCTTTATGATAGAAAAGAAGATGTTCTGAGCCTCTTTCCTATGAGTGGAGAGACCATAGCAATGGACATGGATAAAATAGGTGAGCAATTGTGACACAAGCTATCTCTGGGACTATGGTACAGACCTCAGTAACTCTGGTGAGAGATTATGAGTCAAGACTCAGTAATTCTAGTGAGGGATTATGAGGGATTATAACTTCCAGTCTTCTTTGACCTAACTTCTTTCCTCCGGGGCCTAACGTCCAAGGTGTGGCTCTTTGCTTGCCCTATTTATTATTTATTAACAAAGACATTCCAGTGTCTTGTCTGCCAGGGTTCTGGTTGGCCAATTCAAATCTGTGATTTGCACATCTATCCTTCAGGAATTTATATTGCTGCTATCAGGAGAGACATGATAACAGCAATAAAATGTCCATTATTTAGGAAAACTGTTTTCCCAAACGCATATTAATCAAACTAAGTAATACACACAGGTTTGATATTTAGATGTCTGAATTCTTCAAGATTTGCCCATTAATTTGATACCACCTCTTCATGAAGTAATTGTGGTGCCTTAAATTGTATTTTAATTGAATATTTTGAGTTACCGTTTTGTAAGGGAATGAAGTAGATAATGTGGTAACACATCTGGTACTTCATACACTTTTTTATCCATAAGAAATGATTGACGCTATTTTATTATGTCAGAATAGTGATTTGCTATCAGAATGGGAGGGGTTTGTACCTCATTTCACCACTAGAGGGGTGACCTGATTTTCCAAAGTGGGACTCTCAATTGATGTGGAATTGACAGAATAATCTGTTTTCTAAATTCTAAATCCTTTCAATTCTTTAATGCTTGTTGCAACTACAGTCCTTACTGTTTCAGCTGTTTTAAGACCAAATTATATCTACAGGCTTTTCTGTTATTATTTCAGACATGTCTTGTCGTGACATTCAATGCAGTTGGTTATGTTTCTTATGAGTATAACTATGTGATTCCTTCATTTAATATGACAAGAATGGTAAAATATGGTGTTTGTGGTGCATAGAGTATACAGTATATATGGATGGTTTTAAGGCATAGTTGCACAGTTTCTTGAAACTAAAGTTTAACAAAAATCCTTCCTTGCATTCCTTGCTAAGTAGTGGCCCCAAATTTACAATCTTGTGTCTGGTGTTGGGGAATTTCTTCTCTTGACTTGAGAATCATCAGGCCTACTTTGTTCATGGCTAAATTGTTTTATGGCTGTGTCTGTGCAACTCTTATCTTGAGAGAGAGGTTCACTGATCTTCTAGCCTTTGTGGAATCACAAAGAATACAAATGCCCCATTAAGCAGGCATGTTCCAACCTGAGAATGCATGCAGGCTTACTTGTTAGCAAGAAATGAGTACACACCGTAATATCAGATAGTACAGTGCCTTGCGAAAGTATTCGGCCCCCTTGAACTTTTCAACCTTTTGCCACATTTCAGGCTTCAAACATAAAGATATAATTTTTTTATTTTATGTGAAGAATCACCAACAAGTGGGACACAATTGTGAAGTGGAACGAAATCTATTGGATTTTTGAAACTTTT